TCCCTTTAGCCTTGGAGGTCAAGGCTGCAGTGAGCCATGATTGCACCACTGCACTCCAGCCTGGGTGACAGAGCAAAGCCCTGACTTAAAAAACTTTAATCCCAGTACCAGCCCAGCAAAATGATACTGTTTTTTTCCCATTTGATGGTGAGAAAACTGAAGCCAGAGGAGGTTAAGTGACTTTTTCCCCCTCCCCACTCAAAAGTAGAAGTTGGTATCAGAATTCAGAGTGCCAGTCTTCCCAGGCTGCAATTTGCTCACTAGGGCTTCCTGCTTCTTAGAGATGGCCCAGTCTCTCTTAGGTCACTCTGGGGCCTCCAGGGCCTGGAGGCTCACTTAAGGGTCTGCAGAAGGATGGCCCCAGCCTTTCCTCCTCCCTTCCACTTCAGCTCATTCTGCTAATATAGCTCTGGCTAAGAAAAGCTTCAACAAGAGCCACTGACCACTTCACAGGCCTCAGCCTCTGTGGGATTTGAAAGTCTTGACCACCTCTGAATAGTCTATTTTTTCTTGGTATCATCCTCATTTTATTTATGTACTTATTTTTGAGACAGGGTCTTGTTCTGTCGCCCAGGCTGGAGTGCAGTGGTGTGATTTTGCTCACTGCAACCTTCGTCTCCAGGATTCAAGAGATTCTCCTGCCTCAGCCTCCCAAAAGAGCTGGGATTACAGGTGCCTGCCACCACACCTAATTTGTATTTTTAGTCGAGATGGGGGTTTCACCATACTGGCCAGGCTGGTCTCGAACTTCTGGCCTCAAGTGATCTGCCCTCTGCCCCCTGCCTCTGCCTACCAAAGTGCTGGGATCACAGGTGTGAACCCCACGCCTGGCCCTATCTCTATTTTATTTGCTGGTTTCTTCTCCCTACCACCTCTCCCTCCCTTTCTTTGATTGGTTATTTTTCTCAGACCCCAATGCAGTCTTTTTTGGGGGGCAGGGGGTGGTTTCTGCTTGTCCCTTAGAATTTGTGTTTCTCGTGTTCTGTCTCTGTTCTCACTTTCTGGGTGCTCCTAATGTCTCCACGCTGACCAGTCTCATTGTTTGACCCTTAGCCAAGCCATCTCTTCACATCCATCTGTGTTCTGGACATCTCACTTTGGATTTGTCAGCTACTCCTAACTCAGCATGTTCACAACTGAACTCATCAGCTAATATCCAGACCGGCTTGTCCTGATTTTCCTTGCGAGTGAAACTTAAGCCATTTGTGACAGCTGCCTTTCATCTCTCATCTGTCACATCCTGGTTTTTAAGGAGGTTCTAAATAGCTCTTGAGGGCCGGGCGCCATGGCTCACGCCTGTAATCCCAGCACTTTTGGAGGCTGAGGCGGGTGGATCACCTGAGGTCAGGAGTTCGAGACCAGCCTGGCCAACATGGTGAAACCCCGTCTCTACTAAAAATTTTAAAAAGTAGCTGGGCATGGTGGTGCGTGCCTATAATTCCAGCTACTCAGGAAGCTGAGGCAGAAGAATGGCTTGAATTGGGGAGGTGGAGGTTGCAGTTAGCTGAGATTGCACCACTGCACTCCAGCCTGGGTGACAGAGCAAGACTTGGTCTCAAAAATAAAAAATAAAACAAACAATATCTCTTGAATCTGGTTCTTCCTTTTCCATTGCCACAGTGGAATCATCGCGTTTCTCCACTGGTCTCCCTGTCCATTTTGTCTAATCCAGACTCCACCCTGCAGTGTGGTTATTGTAAAACACTTACTTTACTCTGGGCACTGTGGCTCACGCCTGTAATCCCAGCACTAAGGGAGGCTGAGGCAGCCAGGTTACTTGAGGTCAGGCATTTGAGACCAGCCTGGTCAACGTGGCGAAACTGTCTCAATTAAAATTACAAAAATTAGGCTGGATGTGGTGGCTCACGCCTGTAATCCCAAGCACTTTGGGAGGCCGAGGCAGGCAGATCACCTGAGGTTGGGAGTTAGAGACCAGCCTGACCAACATGGAGAAACCCCATCTCTACTAAAAATACAAAAAAATTAGCCCGGCGGGGTGGCATGTGGCCTGTAATCCCAGCTACTCGGGAGGGTGAGGCAGGAGAATCTCTTGAACCTGGGAGGTAGAGGTTGCAGTGAGCCGAGATAAGCACCATTGCACTCCAGCCTGGGCAACAAGAGCCAAACTGTCTCAAATAAATAAATAACAAAAATTAGCTGGGCACATACCTGTAGTCCCAACTATTCTGGAGGCAGAGGTGGAAGGATTCCTTGAGCCCAGGAGGTCGAGGCTGCAGTGAGCCATGATCGAGCCTCTGCCCGCCAGCCTGGATGACAGAGTGAGACCCTGTCTCAAAAAACAACTCACTTCCTTTAGTAACTATCCGTGGTCTCTTGGCAGGATAAAGTTCAAAATCTTCCTCTTAGCCTTTGATATCCCTCCCAATCCAGTTCTATCCTCACCCTGTGTTCCACCCGTACTTCATGGCATTGGGAATTCCCCAAAAGTCGGGCAGGTCTGTTGAACAAACATTGAACACAGTGATGTGTTAAGTGCTAAGGCCACAGGCATGACTAAAACAGTATCCTGAGATGAGATTACAACCCAAGTGGGGAGGGAGGGGGGAGAAAACACACACACAAAGGGACAACTGTGGTCCAGTCATGGCAGGGCCCTTATTGGCGGGGTGACTTCATTCATTCATACTCCCTGTACTGACCATCTGAATCATCCCAGTGTCAGTTAAAGGTTGGATTGGTATAAAGGAAATGCTTTAATTTTTTTTTTGAGCCGGAGTCTCGCTCTTTCACCCAGACTGGTGTGCAGTGGGGTGATCTCAGCTCACTGCAACCTCCACCTCTCGGGTTTAAGCATTTCTCCTGCCTCAATCTCCCGAGTCGCTGGGACTACAGGCGAGTGCCACCACGCCTGGCTAATTTTTGTATTTTTATTAGGGACGAGGTTTCACTGTGTTAGCCAGGATGGTCTTAATCTTCTGACCTCGTGATCCGCCCGCCTCGGCATCCCAAAGTGCTGGGATTACAGGTGTGAGCCACCGTGCCTGGACAGTTATTTTTAATTTATTTTTGGAGAACGGGGTCTTGCTATATTGCCCAAGCAGGTCTCGAACTCCTGGCTAGGCTCAAATTATCCTCCCCTGTCTCTGCCTGCTGTTATTTTATTTTGTTTAATTTTTGAGAAGGAGTCTCGCTCTGTCGCCCAGGCTGGAGTGCAGTGGCGCAATCTCAGCTCACTGCCACTTCTGCCTCCTGGGTTCAAGTGATTCTCCTGTCTCAGCCTCTCGAGTAGCTGGTATTACAGATATGTGCCACCATGCCTGGCTAATTTTTGTATTTTTAGTAGAGACGGGGTTTCACCATGTTGGCCAGGGTGGTCTCGAACTCCTGACCTCAGGTGATCCACCCGTCTTGGTCTCCCAAAGTGCTGGGATTACAAGCATGAGCCACAGCGCCTGGCCTATTATTTTTTTGATAACAGAGTTGTCTGCAGATTCCATTAATGTTTTAAAGGCTTTCATTTCTTTTTCCAATTCCCTGCCTCTCCTCCTCAAAAAAAGATCTCAAGGCAAAATATCAAAATCCAGGTAGTGAGACTGTAGTGGTCTTTGGCACTCTAAGTTGTCTGCCATCCAACGAGCTAAATTTTAAGGTTACTTCCTTTGGCTCACTTCTTCCCTTGTATTCCATGGCAACCCATACTGGATTATTGAAACCTTTGCCTAACTGGCCTTTCTGCCTTAGTCCACCCCAAAGCTAGACTTTCTCGAAGATGAATGCTAAATGGATTTTTCTAGTGTATTGCTTTGACTTGTTTCCTCATCTTTTTAGTCTTTTTTTTGTGGTGGGGGATAGTCTTGCTCGGTCACCTGAGCACGAAGTGGCGTGATCTCGGTTCACCGCAACCTCTGTCTCCTGGGTTCAAGTGATTCACCTGCCTCAGCCTCCAGAGTAGCTGGGACTACAGCTAATTTTTGTATTTTTAGTAGAGATGGGGCTTCGCCATGTTGCCCGGGCTAGTCTTGAACTCCCAAATGATCCACTTGCTTCAGCTTCCCAAAGTGCTAGGATTATAGGCGTGAGCCACCGTGCCTGGCCTCCTACGGTCTTTAGCGGCTCTCCACTCCTGCCTAAATTATGTTCAGGCTTTCATCAGTGTGGGCCCAGCCTACCTTCCAGCTTTTCTACTTCTGCTTTGCTTTATTTATTTATTTTGAGAGGGTCTTGCTCGAAGACGGTCCCCCAGGCTGGAGTGCACTGGCGGATCATAGCTCATTGCACCCTCTGCCTCCTGGGCTGAAGCAATCCTCCTTCCTCAGCCTCTTGAGTAGCTGGGACTTACGGGCACGTGCCACCATGCCCCACTAATTTGTGTATGTGTGTGTATTTGAGACAGAGTCCTGCTCTGTTGCCCAGGCTGGATTGCAGTGGTGCAATCTTGGCTCATGGCAACCTCTGCCTCCCAGGTAACTGGGATTATAGGTGTGTACCACCATGTCCAGCTCATTTTTGTATTTTTAGTAGAGATGGGGTTTCACCATGTTGGCTAAGCTGGTCTTGAACTCCTGGCCTCAAGCGATCTGCCCGCCTTGGCCTCTCAAAATGCTGGGATTACAGGTGTATGTGGCCACTGCAGCTGGCCAAATTTTTGTATTTTTTTATAGAGATGGGGTCTCACTTTGTTGCCCATGCTAGTCTGCTTTGCTTTATATATGCAACTCAGAAAGCCTTAGCCAGGCAGGCCTTCCTAACTCAGCCAACAGAGACGATCTTGCCTGCTCTTATCTATTAAAATCCTACTCATTCTTTACAGCCTGGTTCAGGCAAGACGGGATAATGAAGGCCAGTTTTTGAGTTACTGAGGCTGAGTGCTCTTGCCAGTAATGAGATCGTAACATCCTTGTATCATGAAGTTATGACAGAAAGGCAATAGATAACCTTTTCTTCGTTCTCGGCTCTGTTATTTCCTCTTTCTGTCCCGTTAACATTTGTTGAACCAAAATGCGTTGTGTACCCGCACACATTCTAAAATTCGCACAAACTGTAGTTTATGTAAAAATTTATTTGACCAAAATGTAGAAAAGTGATACTATTACATATGATACAGTTGAAAGAATCTAAAGAAGAGTGTGGATTTCATTCAATTGCACAATTTGGCTAGTGTATTTCCTGGGTAGTGTGGTGCTGAATAAATAGGAGCGGGGTGGTGGGGCGGGGCGGAGAGGGGATTCAAATAAGCCAGAAGCAGGGTGATTTTTAGTCAGAATTGTAAACTTTAGTTGGCCCTGACACGCTGCTGGGGAATATGGAATGTTCCAGCTCTGAGATGTTAACTGAGAAAACAGAAGTAAAACAAAGCCAATGTGTGCAGCCCTGTCTACAAAATCCTCCATTATCCAGTTTAATCAGGAATTTCTTGGTCTTTTATTAACATGGTCCCAAAGAAGGAATTCAAGTCCTAGATAAGTAAATCTTCAGTTTGCTATTCCCTGAAGTATGGAAATGAAGTTGGGCCAGTTTTTAATCCCTGCTGCCAGAGAGGCCCTTTCTGCTAAGAGAAAGAAAAAAAAACTCTTCTGCTCAACTTATTAATGACTTGTAGTCTCTTGGATATGGCTGACCTGAACTGGACTGAAATCCACCATATTCCTGCTGAGTGGATGGGTCATTATTGGAATGAGACATTTGTTCCTCAGAGAACAACTTTATTTTTATTTTTTCTTGAGATGGAGTCTCTCTCTGTTGCCCGGGCTGGAGTGCAGTGCCATGATCTCGGCTCACTGCAACCTCCACTTTCTGGGTTCAAGGGATCCTCCTGCCTGTGTCTCCTGGAGTAGCTGAGACTACAGGCAGGTGCCATCATAATTTTTGTAATTTTAGTAGAGACGGGGTTTCACCATGTTGGCCGGGTTGGTCTTGAACTCCTGACCTCAAGTGATCTGCCCGCCTTGGCCTCCCAAAATGTTGGGATTACAGGCGTGGGCCACAATAGCCTGCCGGAGAACAACTTTAGAATGAAGGAAATATGCAGAACATAACATCACGGATCTATCCAGAAAATATGTGGGTGCTGGGTGCGGTGGTTCATGCCTGTAATCCCAGCTCTTAGGGAGGCAGAGGTGGGAGGATAGCTTGAGCCCAGGAGTTTGAGACCTGCCTGGGCAATATAGTGAGACCCCATTCTCCACAAAATGGAAAAAAAAAAAAAGACAAAAAAAAAAAAAGGCAGAAAATATGTGGGTAATTACAACCATTTCCCAAGCATTCTACATTGACTGCTTGAGAGGATGTTTGTTCTGCATGGTGGAGTGTAGAGAAGGGCCAGGATTCTTAGGTTAATCTATCCATGGGTTATGACTTCCCACAATGCCCGCCCCCGGCCCACCCCGTTTATTGGCTCTGGATGGAAAACCCCACCCATGTGATGGTCCCTGTTCTCTCCTATAGTTCGACCAACCTTGACTCAAAAGGTTATGTTCTTCAGCATTTTAAATAGATCCACTAGATACTGGGGTCTGCGTTCTTCAAAGTGTGGGGCTGCCTATTCTCCCAGGAACCAAATGCCCTCCGTTTTAAGAAAGTATGCTTACTAGGAAATACCCTGCCTACCTTAGGAATAAATGCAACTTAAGGAAAAAATAAGAGAGCTGAAAAAGCTGGTGCCATTTGGGGGGGAAGAAAAAGGAAAGGAATGAGATTTAACTGGTGCTCAAAGCTTCTCCGATACAAAATATTTGGTCATGTATTCATAATTTGCTTGACATATCCAGCAAAGCGAAGATGGCAATAACAAAAGGAACTTCTTACAAGAGAAGAGAAAGACCCACGGAGCTCCGGAGTTTCTGGTGGAACAAGACTCTTCTGTTTTGATTATATACAGTTAAGTTCATTTAGTGTCTGATCCAGTGTCTGATGTAAGCCCACGTTCTCTTCTTTGGCCTGGGCAAGTTTCTCTGGTGAGGATTAAGAGTAGGGGGAAAGATAAATTAATAAGCATATTTGTTAAGCGAAAGAAAAAAAAGATTAAAATTTTTTTTTTTTCTTGAGACAGGGTTTCACTCTGTTGCCCAGGCTGGAGTGCAGTGGTGTGATCTCAGCTCACTGTAACCTCTGCCTTCCAGGCTCAAGTAGCTGGTATTACAGGTGCCTGCCACCACTGCCCGGCTAATTTTTATATTTTTATAGTAGAGATGGTGTTTCACCATGTTGGCCAGGCTGGTCTCAAACACCTGACCTCAAGCAATCAGCCCACCTTGGCCCCGCAAAGTACTGGAATTACAGGCGTGAGTCACCATGCCTAGCCAAAAAAAATGGGGTTTCACCATGTTGGTCAGGCTGGCCTTGAACTCCCAACCTCAGGTAATCTGCCCGCCTTTGCCTCCAAAGTGCTTGGATTACAGGCGTGAGCCACTGCACCCGGCCAAAAAATGAAAAGGATTTCTAAACTTCAAACTGCCAGGGTGAAAGTCACAACAAATAAAGTATTTGTTGTTGTTGTCCAGGCTGGAATGCAGCGATATAATCACAAAGCACCACAGCCTTGACCTCCCTAGGCTCAGGTGATCCTCCCACCTTAGCCTGCCAAGTAGCTGGGACTACAGGTGTATGCCACCACACCTGGCTAATTTTTGCATTTTTTAAAAAATAGAGACAGGGTCTTACCATGTTACCCAGGCTGGTCTCGAGCTCCTGGGCTCAAGGAATTCATCTGCTCAGCCTCCCAAAGGGCTGGGATTACAGGGCTATAGCCATCATGCCTGGCCAGTACTTTGTATTTTTAATTACAGCAGAACACCATGGAATACTAGGGACCAAGCACCAAATTTGGGAGTCACCGTTGTGAGACAAAATGCAGGGTGCCCAGTTAAACTGAATTTCAGATAAACAACAAATAATATTTTAGTGTTAGCATATCCCAAATGTTGCATGAGATGCACTTATGATTAAAAAATTATTCATTGCTTATCTAAAATTCAGATTTAACTTGGTGCCCTCTATTTTTCCTTGTGAACTCTGATAACCCTAGAGTCACAATACCTAGACTTAAGCCCCAGTTGTACCACTGGAGATAAGCATGTACCCTTCCTACGTCTGTTTTCCCCATCTGTCAAGTAGGGGTAACAATATCAACGCGTGGTGTGGGGGTTATGATGAGGAATGAATGAGAATCGCTTCAGAAACTACACAAAGATTTCCGTCCTAGATACTCGTGACTTAATATAAACTTCCACTCAAGTGCAAGTTAACTGGTCTCTGAGCCTTTGATAGGAAAATCTAACCCTATAACCCCATCTTTCTTTTGGAGCTTCTGGGAATAGCTGTTTAAATTACAAGTGCGATTTTGTAATTGTCTATGCATCCAGAGGAATGGAGACAAACCCCAGGTAAATGCAACATGACTGAAATTTTCTTTTTTTTTTTTTTCTAGACAAGAGTTTTGCTCTTGTTATCCAGGCTGGAGTACAATGGTGTGATCTTGGCTCACCACAACCTCCGCCTCCTGGGTTCAAGCAATTCTCCTGCCTCAGCCTCCCGAGTAGCTGGGACTACAGGCGCGCACCACCACGCCCAGCTAATTTTTGTATTTTTAGTAGAGACGGGGTTTCACCTTGTTGACTAGGATGGTCTTGATCTCTTGACCTCGTGATCCACCCGCCTCGGCCTCCCAAAGTGCTGGGATTATAGGCATGAGCCACCGCGCCCGGCCTCTAATTTTTTTTTTGAAGATGGGGTTTCACCATGTTGGTCAGGCTGGTCTTGAACTCCCGACCTCAGGTGATCCACCCACCTCGGCCTCCAAAGTGCTTGGATTACAGGCGTGAGCCACCATGCCTGGCCCTCATGACCGAAATTTAAGCCAGACTACAGGCATATTGTTAAGTGACTGAGCTGATGAAACAATTTAAATTAAAAAAGAAAGACAGAAAAAAGATGCCATTTAGAGCTATGCGTGACAGAGCACGAGAGAGAACTTAGAGACTCATTAAAATACTGGGGGAAAGGAAAATTCCTCATAAAGTATAATATGATCAGCCTGGAAATTTACAGAATGAAAAAATGACTGCAGAAGATGGCAGCCCTATCTATCTATCTATCTATCTATCTATCTATCTATCTATCTATCTATCAGCAGGGTCTCACGTGTTGCCCAGGCTGGAATGCAGTGGCATGATCACAGCTCACTGCAGTCTTGGCCTCCCAGGCTCAAGTGATCCTCCCACCTCAGCCTCCGTAGCTGGGACTAAAGGTGTGCACCACTACACCCAGCTAATTCTTATATTTTTAGTAGAGATGGGGTTTTGCCATGTTGCCCAAGCTGGTCTCAGGCAATGCACTCGCCTCAGCCTCCCAAATAGCCGGGATTACAGGTGTGCTGGGATTACTGCCATGAACCACTGAGAATCACTTGATGCCAGGAGTTCAAGACCAGCCTGGCCAACATGGTGAAACCCTGTCTCTATTAAAAATACAAAAAATTAGCCAGGTGAGGTGGTAGCAGGAGCCTGTAATCCCAGCTATTCAGGAGAATCACTTGATGATACTCCTGAGGCAGGAGAATCACTTGAACCTGGGAGGTGGAGGTTGCAGTGAGCCAAGATTGCACAAGATTGTGCCACTGCACTCCAGCCTGGATGACACAGCGGGGTTTCATCTAAAAAAAAAAGAAGTCGAGAGACTATGACCTGGGAGGATTCCATCAGATGGAGTGAGCTGGGCCTGTCCAGTCTGGGTGAACAGATGTTAACTGCACGCTGACTGTAGTATGAGCCAGTTTCTCCATGATCTCATTTAATCCTCATAATGGCGGCGATATCACCTTTATTTTGTGGAAAAGCTAAGCAGCTTGTTCACGTTGGCGTGGTTAAAGTGGTAGAGCTAGAATTTTAAATCCTGGTCTATTTTTTATTAATTTTTTTCTTTTTTTGAGATGGAGTTTTGCTGTTGTCGCCCAGGCTGGAGTGCAGTGACGCAATCTCGGCTCACTGCAACCTCTGCCTTCCAGTTTCAAGCGATTCTCCTGCCTCAGCCTCCCGAGTAGCTGGGATTACAGGGGCCTGCCACCACGCCCGGCTAATTTTTTGTATTTTTGTAGAGATGGGGTTTCACCATGTTGGCCAGGCTGGTCTCAAGCTCCTGAGTTCACCCACCTCGGCCTCCCAAAGTGCTGGGATTACACACGTGAGCCACGAAGCCCAGCCTATTAAAATTTTTTTAAAAAAATAAAATATTAGTATTATTTTTAGAGATAGGGTCTTGCCATGTTGCCCAGGCTGCTCTCAAACTCCTGAGCTCAAGTGATCCGTCTGCCTTGGCCTCCCAAAGTGCTGGGATTATACATGTGAGCCACTGCACTGGGCCTTAAACTCTGGTCTCTTGACTACAAATCCTTCACTTCATCTTGTCACTTAGATGCTCTGGCATCTATTTTATTAGGTCTGAGATAAAAGGACTTTCCCTCAAAGTGTTAACTGCCCTTGAGAATCAGGACAAGGCTCACAGACTATCAACAGATAGTGAAGACCTCCACAGCACTAATCTCTCATTCATTCATTCATTCACATATACTGTGCAACCCTCTTCAGTGCTCACAGCCCACAGGTAAGGGGCTGGGCAATGGTTCGAGGCTGCCATTTACTCTGGCACGGTACACTATGAGAGGCCCACAGAGAAGGACCCCCCCATAAATCCATTACCATGCTTTTTTTTTTTTTTAACTTTTCATTCATGCTTTAAGGACATTTGAAGTCTCTCTCTTTCTTTTTTTTTTTTTTGAGGTAGAGTCTTGCTCTGTCACCCAGGCTGGAGTACAATGGTACAATCTCTGCTCACTGCAACCTCTGCCTCCCGGGTTCAAGCCATTGATTTTCCCACCTCAGCCTCCCTAGTAGCTGGGATTACAGACACCCACCACCGTGCCGGCTAATTTTTGTATTTTTAGTAGGACAGGGTTTCACCATGTTGGCCAGGCTGGTCTCAAACTCCTGACCTAAAGTGATCTGCCCGCCTTGGCCTCCCAAAGTGCTGGGATTATAGGCATGAGCCACCATGTCCAGCCATAGCACTAATCTCTGAAATTCCACTTAGGTACTTAGCTAGGTAGAATGACTGGATAGACAGGCTGCATAGTTACTTCAAAGGGTGGAGTCCAGAAATGCCTGGGAAAATTCCAGGGGCAAATACACGGATTGCCAAACAAAAACCAGTCCCTACACAGTCTATAATCTTTCCAAGGGCAGGTATATGGCAGTGTGTGAGGGGAATGGTTTTTGCAAAAGTTCAGGATGCACGGCAGTCAGGAGCAGGGAGAGGTCCGAGGTGGAAAAGTGTAGGTAGTTTAGCGTAGATGCATTTTGGAGGAATGAATGAATATAGAGAGTAACAGAGACGGAGCTTCCCACTAGACAAAAAAAAAAAAAAAAAAATTGGAGTAAGAATGGATGACTGCAATTTGTGGATCTAGTTGGAGATTTTCTTGCCATTTCCAGGTTCAAGGGGTAGTATGGAAGATGTGCCTAGGACACCTGAATGTCAATGGTATGTGATAATTTGAGGTGGTAGTGGTGGTGGGGTGTAGGGGAGAACTGGACAGACTATTTGAAACTTGGATTATCTTTGACAAATTGGTGTGTTTTTGATCATTAAAAAAGCATAGCCTGGGCCGGGCACGGTGGCTCATGCCTGCTTCCCATGCACTTTGGGAAGCAAAAGTGGGTGGATCACTTGAGGCCAGGAGTTTGAGACCAGCCTGGTCAACAACAGCTGTCTCTACTAAAAATACAAAAATTAGCTGGGCATGGTGGTGTGCGACTGTAATCTCAGTTACTCGGGAGGCTGAGCCATGAGGATCATTTGAACCCAGGAGGTGAAGGTTGCAGTGAGCCAAGATGGCGCCACTGCACTCCAGCCCGGACAGCAGAATGAGACCCTGACTCAAAAAAAAAAAAGGAAAAAGAAAAAAAGAAGGGCTGGGCACGGTGGCTCACGCCTATAAACCCAGCACTTTGGGAGGCCAAGGCAGGTTGATCACGAGGTCAAGAGATCGAGACCATCCTGGTCAACATGGTGAAACCCCGTCTCTACTAAAAATACAAAAAATTAGCTGGGCACGGTGCCACGTGCCTGTAGTCCCAGCTACTCAGGAGGCTGAGGCAGGAGAATTGCCTGAACCCAGGAGGCGGAGGTTGTGGTGAGCCGAGATCGTGCCATTGCACTCCAGCCTGGGTAATAAGAGCGAAACTCCGTCTCAAAAAAAAAAAAAAAAAAAAAAAAAGTGTGGCCTTGTTTTCTCCTTCATGCAGGAAAAAGTATGACCTTTTTTGTTTTTCCTTGTATTTTCTGTGGAGACCGGTTTCTCCATGTTGGTCAGGCTGGTCTCGAACTCAGGACCTCAGGTGATCCACCCATCTCGGCCTCCCAAAGTGCTGGGATTACAGGCATGAGCCACCATGCTCAGCACTATGACCTGTTAATATCCACAGGTCAACCTTATGAGTTATTCTAAAGCAAAGTTCCTGTTATTCCTGAGTCAGATATGAAGGGAGACTGATGTTAGCGTCCCAGGCAACTTTGGAATTTGGGAAAGAATTCTGAATTCATTTCTTCTGAGGTCACAGCACTTTCCACTCCCCTACCCTGTTCATGGGAGGCCTGTCCACTCCCTGTACAGTCAGTTTTCTAAGGGCAGGGTGTGGAGGTGAACTTCCTCCCAGGACTGGAGCTGGATGAGCAGTGAGCAGCCATGGGAAGCCCCAGGGTAACACAGAGAGAACACATGAGACAAGGAGGAAAAAGGAGAAACAGGTCATTGCCGCTATTTGAACTCGTAGTTCAAGCCCCATTCGAGGGGAGCCACATTTTTGACACCGGCTTGCTGGTTTTTCCAAATCCCTGCTGACTCTTAAGCTGCCTAAGCTGTTTATAAGGATGAGTCTCCATTCACAACAATTTCTATTTAAGGAAAACCACCGCGGCCAGATGCGGTGGCTCATGCCTGTAACTGCAGCACCTTGGGAGGGTGTGGCGGGCAGACTGCCTGAGTTCAGGAGTTCAAGACCAGCCTGGGCAACGTAAATAAGACCTCCCCACTTCTACAAAAAAGTACAAAAATCAGCCTCGTATGGCGGTGGTGCATGCCTATACAGTCCCAGCAAATTGGGAGGTCGAGGTCGGAGGATCGCTTGAGCCCTGGAGGTGGAGGTTGCAGTGAACTATGATGGTGCCATTGTACTCCAGCCTGGATGACAAAAAAAGGCCAGGCATGGTGGCTCTTGCCTGTAATCCCAGCAGCTGGGAAGCCGAGGCAGGTAGATCATGAGGTCAGGAGTTTGAGACCAGCCTGGCCAACATAGTGAAATCCCGTGTTTACTAAAAATACAAAAAAATTAGCTAGGTGTGGTACACGTGCCTGTAGTCCTAGCTGCTCAGAAGGCTGAGGCAGGGGAATCACTTGAACCGGGGAGGCGGAGGTTGCAGTGAGCCGAGGCCACACCCTTGCACTCCAGCCTGGGTAACAGAGTGAGACTCCATCACAAAACCAAACCAAACCAAACCAAACAAAACTAACGGAATGCAGATGCTGTTAGCTACCGGGTATCTGAGAGCACACGCCTAACTTGCTTTTGTTTTCACGCCTTCAGAAAAGCATCCTGTAGGCATAATTTTCTTTTTGTAATGAGCTTTTCATTTGTGAGTGCGAGGCTAACCTCACCCACTTTGTGTTTCAGGCCACGGTCAGGGGGACACAGCTACGGCTCAAAGGCGGCAAGTGGAGAAAATGAGAATGAGGGGCATGAGGAGGAGGACGGCCCGTCTTTATTTTGGTTGCAGAGTCACAGACACATCGGAAGAAGGCTCTGACGTTCAAACCAGAAGAGGCAGGGCACTGGAGCTCCCAGAAGCCCACAGGGGCGCAGGAGGCACCACGTGAGAAGGACAGAGGACAGCAACCTGGCCGCCTCTCAGAGAGAGGTCATGTCGTTGAGCGCGTGGTCCAGCTCCTCGCTGATAGCTTTGTACTTGAGCTTCTGAGCGTATAACTCATCTAGAGGGTGGAGGTCCCCAGCGAGACAGTTCAGAAGAAGTAGGTAGGTACAGGGGACAGAAGGCAGGGATCAGAATGGAGTGCCACAGATGAACCACAAGAGGAAGAAAAAAAACGTGAGCAAACAAAGCACAGATGGGAGAAAGTTGTGTTCTGTGGGAACAGGTGAAGAAAACAAAAGATCTACGGACTGATTTCTAAGTGGGGTTTGGGGTTCTACAGGGGGATTAGCCAGAATGAAGCTTCAACTCAGTGGTGACCAGGAGTGACCAAGCTTCTCCCCACCAGCCCCCACCCCCAGTTTATTTCTGATTTCCAATGACATCACCCTGTCTAAAGATCATACTTTGGAATGGGGCATTTTCCCTTATATGGGAATCTCACTTCCCCCAAAAAAAACATGGGGACACGTGGTCTGAAGAATGCGTCCTTTCTGTGTGGGATGGGCAGTTTGGTGGATTCCATTTGAACCCCAAGATTCTGAAATTTCTGGGCTATATCATGAAGAACATGAGCCCAAATGTTAAACGTCGGAACCCTTCAAGAAATTCTGGGAGATGTGGGCCCCAGACCTGCAAGACTAGAGTCTTTATTGTGGTGCCTACATTTCCCGTAGTTCTGTTTTTTCCCACTGTAATAAGCTTTGAGCCCGCTGGGACAGAGCTTCTGCAAAAATGCAAGGCATGTAAAAAAAAAAAAAAGCCAGCCGTCTATCAGAAATGAGCAAACCAAAGGAAATTGTAAAGACTTTTTTTTTTAGATGGAGTCTCACTGTCGCCCAGGCTGGAGTGCAGTGGCATGATCTCGGATCACTGCAACCTTCGCCTCCCAGGTTCAAGCGATTCTCCTGCCTCAGCCTCCCGAGTAGCTGGGATTACAAGCGGGCACCATCACGCCCGGCTAATTTTTTGTATGTTTGGTAGACACAGGGTTTCAGCATGTTGGCCAGGCTGGTCTCAAACTCCTGACCTCAAGTGATCCACCAGTCTCAGCCTCTCGAAGTGCTGAGATTACAGGCGTGAGTCACCACACCTGGCATGACTTTTATTTATTTATTTTTGAGACGGAGTTTCACTCTTGTTACCCAGGCTGGAGTGCAATGGCGTGATCTCGGCTCACCGCAACCTCCGCCTCCTGCGTTCAGGCAATTCTCCTGCCTCAGCCTCCTGAGTAGCTGGGATTACAGGTGTGCACCACCATGCCCAGCTAATTTTTTGTATTTTTAGTAGAGACGGGGTTTCACCATGTTGACCAGGATGGTCTCGATCTCTTGACCTCGTGATCCACCCGCCTTGGCCTCCCAAAGTGCTGGGATTACAGGCGTGAGCCACCACGCCCGGCAACGTTTTTTTTTTTTTAAACCAGAGAGAGCCATATCTGTTTCTCTGTACTTGCTCATGGGACTAACTAAGCAAAGATATTTTACCTCCTGAAAGTAACAACTCAAGTCTGAATTATTTGCATTATCCTATTCCAGTGTTCCAAGACATCCAGATATGACATCACTACACACTTTACTTTCCTAAGGCAAACAAGGCCCAACCCAGCTCCTCCACACATATCCCCCAGCTGTCCCTGGATGTGTCCCAGAGGGGGAGGCAGGGCAGGGCACATTATTTAGATGGTAACCTCATACCTTCCAGGTCATCAATGGTCTTTTCCAGTTTTGCCACTGTTCTCTCTGCAAATTCGGCACGGGTCTCAGCCTAGGTAAGAAGAAAGGAGTTCCCATCATGGCTTCAAGACCAGCCCCAGGAGAAGCCTAAGCTCGCTGGGTGGAAACACACTCACCTCTTTCAGTTTGTCAGACAGAAGTTTAATTTCTTCTTCATATTTGTCTTCCTTTTCAGAATACTATGGGAAAAAGCAAAATGCCGCATTAAAAAAAGGAGGGCACGGCCGGGTGCAGTGGCTCACGTCTGGAATCCCAGCACTTTGGGAAGCTGAGGTGGATTGATTACAAGGTCACGAGTTCGAGACCAGCTTGGCCAACATGGTGAAACCCCATCTCTACCAAAAATACAAAAAATTTGCCAAGCATGGTGGTGGATGCCTGTAATCCCAGCTACTCGGGAGGCTAAGGCATGAGAATTGCTTAAACCTAGGAGGTAGAGATTGCAGTGAGCCCAGATCGCACCAATGCACTCCAGCCTGGGCAACAGAGCAAGATTCCATCTCAAAAAACAAAAGAAGTAGGCAGAGGAGAGGCAGGCACCTTTCCCCAGCAAAAGAAATATGTGTGAAATGCAGAGAATATGGGGGAAAGTCCTCTAGGATGGTATTGATCAGAAGGCCTGAACTGGTAACTTGAGATAGAAGTATGCTGAAGAAAGGGAGGTAACTGGAAATCTGTGCCACTTCAGTCCTCACCACCTTCCCCAGGGTGACAGGCACTCCCTGATCATAATCTCTGGACTTCTGAGTCCCAGGCCCCGTCCATGAATGCGTCCCTTAGCATGGAACGTCCCCCTCCTCATGACGACTTATCAGAAATGATACTTGTCTTTTTTTTAATCAGACAGAGACTTGCTGTGTCGCCCAGGATGGTGTGCAGTGGTACAATCTCAGCTCACTGCGACTTGCAACTTTCGCCTCCCAGGCTCAAGCGATTCCTCTGACTTACCTCCCAAGTAGCTGGGACTACAGGCGCCTACCACTATGCTCTGCTAATTTTTGTATTTTTAGTAGAGACGGGGTTTCGCCATGATGGCCAGGCTGGTCTGGAAGTCCTGAACTCAGGTGGTCTGCCTGCCTCAGCCTCCCAATAATAACTAATACTTATGATTTGCTGCTTGCCATGGTCCAGACACAGTCAATGGCATCACAGCCAGGTACCTGTAATCCCATTTTATAGGGAGGAAAGGGTCTCAGAAAGGTGAAGTTATTTTGCTTAGGGTCACATGGCTATTACATAATCAAGTCATGACTGAAGCCTGACTCTGGAATGCAGTGGGGCAATCTCGGCTCACTGCAACCTCCACCCTCCAAGTGATCTTCTCAAGTAGCCTCCCAACGTCAGCCTCCCAAGTAGCTGGGATCACAGGCGTATGCCACCATGCCCAGGTAATTTTTTAATTTTTAGTCGAGACGGGGTCTCGCCATATTGCCCAGGCTGGTCTGGAAATTCTGAGCTCAAGCGATTCTCCCATCTTGGCTTCTTAAAGTGCTAAGATTACAGGCACGAGCCACCACACTGGGCCTACAGCTCCTTTAAATGTTGCCTCCTTGGTGACACCTTTCACAATCTACCAAGGTCCCTCTATTGTATTCCCAAAGCACTCTGTGACTTTGTCAATCTCTTCCACTAGACTGGACTCTGAGCTCTTCAAGAGCAGATAGATGCCAGGCCGGAGGCGGTGGCTCACGCCTGTAATCCCAGCACTTTGGAGACCGAGGTGGATGGATCATTTGTGGTCAGGAGTTTGAGATCAGCCTGGGCAACATGGTGAAACACCGTCTCTACTAAAAACAAACAAACAAACACACACACACACACACACGCACACACAATACAGACATAGCCAGGCACAAGGCTAGTACTAGGGACACAGCTCTGAATAAGACGACATGGTCCCTGTCCTTACAACTTAACAATCTGGCAAGGAAAGCATGCAATTAATTGAGTAATGATAATAAATGTAAGAAATCACAATGGCAGGAAAAGTAGTAGACGGGGCTACACAGCAGAGAAATACCTCACCTAGAGGAGAAATCAGAGAAGGCCTCTCAGAAGAAGTGATGTTTAAGCAGAAGCTCAAAGGATGAATAGGAAGCCAGGCACAGTGGCCCACGCCTGTAATCCCGGCACTTTTGGGAAGCTGAGGTGCGAGGATCACTTGAGCCCAGGAGTTTAAGACCAGCCTGGGCAACACAGTGAGACTGCACTCTACCAAAAACAACAACAACAAAAAACCAAAACACTGTTTAGGAGCAGTGGTGCATGCCTGCGACTCCTAGCTACTCAGGAAGCTGAGATGGCAGGATTATTTGAGCCCAGGAGTTTGGGGTCTGCAGTGAGCTAAAATCACACCACTGCACTCCAGCCTGGACAGCAGAGCGAGAGCTCATCTCTAGGCTGGGCATGGTGGCTCATACCTGTAACCCCAGCACTTCAGGAGGCTGAGGTGGACAGATCACTTGAGATTAGGAGTTCAAGACCAGCCTGGCCGACATGATAAAGTGTCTCTACCAAAAATCATAAAAATGAGCCAGGCATGGTGGCTCATACCTGCGATCCCAGCTACTCGGGAGGCTGAGATGGGAGAATCACTTGAACCCAGGAAGAGGCGGCTGCTGTGATCCAAGATGGCACCACTGCACTCCAGCCTGGGTGACAGTGAGACTCTGTCTCAAAAAAAAAAAAAAAAAGGGATGAATTGGGGGTTTATCAAGCAAAAAAGGAAAGCCACACCAAGGTGAGTGAATAGCAGGTGGTGGCTGAGGTAGGAGGGTCACTGGGGCCCGGGAGTTCAAGAATGCAATGAACTATGATCGTGCCATTCAATTCCAGCCTGAGCGACAGCGAGACTGTCTCAAAAAAAAGGCGGGGTGTGGAGGCGATGGGAGGACAAAACATGTCTGTGAAACTGCAAAAGCAGGAGCAAGAATGAGGAAGAGAAGAGGCTGGGGAATTCAGTGGGGTTCCGCCATGGAAGTGTGTCCTTTGTTCCTGATACAGCTGCCATGTCCTGACTGCTTTGGGTGCTGTTTCAACCTAAAAAGCCCAATTCCACCTCTGATCGTTGTTGCACCTTTGAGATGGTATTTCTGGAGGAACCAGGTAATCAGGTGAGAGGGAGGCTCTGTATTTACACGACTATGCTCAGATCTCCCTAAAAGGGGCCTTGTGTTCTTTTGTTTGTTTGTTTTTAAGAGAGTCTTGCTCGGTCGCCCAGGCTGGAGTGCAATGGCATGATATCGGCTTACTGCAACGTCCGCCTCCTGGGTTCAAGCGATTCTCCTGCCTCAGCCTCAAGTAGCTGGGATTATAGGCTCCTGCCACCACGCCTGGCTAATTTTTGTATTTTTAGTAGACACAGAGTTTCATTATGTTGGTCAGGCTGGTCTAGAACTCCTGACCTTGTGATCCACCCACCTTGGCTTCCCAAAGTACTGGGATTGCAGGCGTGAGCCATCGCGCCTGGCCACCTCATGTTCCATCTCTATCCTCCCGAGATGGAGATCAGAGATGGTGCTCAGACCCCATGGAAGAGGACACCCAAGAGTGCATGAGAAATCCAGCTCTTTCTGTGAGGGAAAAACCCTGGCTGCCAGGCACCAATGCTACTGTTAAATAAAGGTCAGATTCCCCATACCCTGACACGCTTCCCCATCCCTCGGGGGAAGAGAAGAGCCCAGTCAGGCAGGCCCCCCTCCAGCTCCAGCCAAACACCAACCTTTTCAGATGCGGCCTCCAGCGACTTCAGATTGTTAGTAACATTCTTTAGTTCTTCTTCCAGGTCGCCACATTTTCTGCACAAAGACAAAGGATTTTTGTGTCTTATCTTCCCTTACAGCTGGGCAATAGCAATCGACCCTAAAAGAAATTTTTGAAACGAGAAACCCACACAGCCCCGGGGGGGGCCCCAGAAGGAATGTGGAGGAAAAATGTTAATGGATTTTTCTGCAGTGCAATGCTATGTGCTTAGCAAAGCCCTATCATACCAGGCAGAGGCGAGGCCGGCCCAAGGAGTCTTTGGAGGACTTAGAGAGCACTCCTGGTCTTCTGCCAAGGGTGAGGCAACACTGACCTGTAAAATCTACGATTGATGACCCTGACTCCGAAAGGTGTAAGAATGGGATCGAGGGCAGGAGACGGGCAGACAGCAGTGAGAATTTGCATGGGACATGCCAGGAAGGAAGCCCGGAGTGGATTTGTGAAACCAGATCTCTCTCCACACTCCAGGATGCTCTGTGGGGCTGAATTCCTCGCCCCAAGCCAAGAGGGCAGGGGTTTTGTTTTTCAATGCTAGCAGTGCTTGTGGGATTCCTGTCAAGCCTCTCACCTTCCTCCCAGGAATGTGCCTCGGCCTAACACTGACAGTAGGAGCAAGGCACTTAGATACGGATGGGGGTGCCTGCCTTCTGAAGCGGGTCAGGGTTGTGTTAAGATGGCACAGCCCCCTGAGATATCCTCTCTGGGAAAATGGGCTTCCCTGCTGCTTCCTGTCTCACTCCTATTTCCTCATATCTTTGCGGAAAGGGTCAAGATGTGGGCGGTGCTTCCCGTAGCACTAAGAACCGTCACCACCTCTCTTTGTCACGGAAGCCAAGAGAAAGGATGAGAGGATGAGCCATGAGCTCCTGACGCCCGTCCACTTGAGCAGAGGCCCTGGTCAGAGCCAATTCCCAGCACAGCCAGCTCCCTCCCACTCCACCCGGGAGCTGAGCCAGCCTCGCTCAGTCCTGTTCTGCTACTCACAGTTCAGACACCTCTGCACGCTCCTCTGCCCTCTCCAGCTCACCCTCTAGGATGACCAGCTTCCGAGCTACCTGCAGAGACAGAAAGGCCCAACTGAGCCCAATCCCCACCAGCTGTGCCCTCTCCCACCCACTGCAGAGGGCCCCCACGGATGCCCCACCCAGACCGCTAGATTAGCTGCAACATGGGGTTTTCTGCTGGTTCTATTTTTTAAATTTTTTTGAGACAGAGTCTCTCTCTCTCACCCAGGCTGGAGTGCAGTGATGCAATCTCGACTCACTGCAATCTCCACCTCCCGGGTTCAGGTGATTCTTCTGTCTCAGCCTCCGAGTAGCTGGGATTACAGGCATGTACCACCATGCCTGGCTAAGTTTTGTCTTTTTTTAGAGACGGGGTTTCTCTATGTTGGCCAGGCTGGTCATGAACTCCTGACCTCAGGTGATCTGCCTGCCTCAGCCTCTCAAAGTTCTGGGATTATAGATGTGAGCCACCACGCCTGGCCTTTTAAAATTTTTTTGACACAGGGTCTTGCTCTGTCTCCAAGGCTGGAGTGCAGCGGCGTGGTCAGAGCTCACTGCAGCCTTGACTTCCCAGGCTCAAGCGATCCTCCTGCTTCAGCCTCCCAAGTAGCTGGGGACTACAGGTGCATGCCACCATGTCCAGCTAAGTATTATTATTTTATTTTATTTTGTAGAAATGGGGTCTCACTATGTTCCCCAGGCCGGTCTCAAACTCCTGGCCTCAGGCGATCCTCCCACCTGGGTCACCCAAAGTGCCGGGGTCATAGGTTCAAGCTGCCGAGCCTGGCCTTTTGCTGGTGCTTCAACTCAGAGAGCCATCCCGGGGCCTGGAGGAAACCTGATTCTCTTCCTTAGGCCCGAGGAGTGAGGCACACAAGAGGCAGGTGGGAAGAGCCGAGCCATCGAGGCAGGCAAAGGAGGGCCTGAGCGTGCGTGGTCTGAAAAATCCACGGCTTGGGACCGTGATCCTCCATTTCTGCCCAACTGTGCCAAAACGCCCAAGGACACAAGTGAGCTGATCAGTTTTCCCATTACGTTAGACAAGCATCCGCGGGACTTTTTGGCATTGTGGGAGACAGTTTCCTAGCCAAGCGCCTGTCTCTGGACAAACATATGTAAGCGCAGGAGGATAGCTGACCTAACCAAGAGCTTCCTTTTGTTGGCCCCAGCGTCCCTGCTATCTCGGCAGATGCATTTCCTCCCGCTTCCTGCTGCTGCGCCATCTGCCAGCCCCACTCACCTCCTCGTATTTGCGGTCAGCCTCTTCTGCAATGTGCTTGGCCTCTTTGAGCTGCATCTCCTGAATCTCCATCTTCTCCTCATCCTTCATGGCCCGGTTTTCTATCACCTTCATTCCTCTGCAAGGAGCGACCAGAAGCGCTTTCACTTACACCCTTCCTCCACCCATCTCTCATCTATCTTCTTCTTCTTCTTCTTCTTTTTTTTTTTTTTGAGACAGAGTCTTGCTCTGTCGTCAGGGTAGAGTGCAATGGCGCGATCTTTGCTCACTGCAACCTCCGCCTCCCGGGTTCAAGCAATTCTCCTGCCTCAGCCTCCCGAGTAGCTGAGATTACAGGCGCGCGCCACCACGCCCAGCTAATTTTTGTATTTTTTTAGTAGAGACAGGGTTTCACCATGTTGGCCAGGATGGTCTCTAACTCTTGAACTCGTGATCCACCTGCCTCAGCCTCCCAAAGTGCTGGGATGACAGGCGTGAGCCACTGTGCCCGGCCTCATCTATCTTCTTTTTTGAGACGGCAGCGGCGCAATCTTCACACACTGCAACCTCCACCTCTGGGGTTCAAGAAATTCTCCTGTTTCAGCCTCCTCAGTAGCTGGGATTACAGGCACCTGCCACCACGTCTGGGTAATTTTTATTTTATTCTCATTTTTAATTAATTAATTAATTAATTAGTTAATTTATTTTTGAGACGGAGTTTCGCTGTTGTTACCCAGGCTGGAGTGCAATGGCACGATCTCGGCTCACTGCAACCTCCGCCTCCTGGGTTCAAGCAATTATCCTGCCTCAGCCTCCCGAGTAGCTGGAACTACAGGCACACATCACCATGCCCAGCTAATTTTTGTATTTTTAGTAGAGACGGGGTTTCACCTTGTTGACCAGGATGGTCTTGATCTCTTGACCTTGTGATCCACCCGCCTCAGCCTCCCAAAGTGCTGGGATTATAGGCATGAGCCACCGCGCCCCGCCTTCATTTTTATGTATTTATTTATTTTTTTAAATGGAGTTTCGCTCTTGCTGCCCAGGCTGGAGTGCAGTGGTGTGATCTTGGTTCACTGCAACCTCTGCAAATTAAAAAAAAATTTTTTTTGCAGAGATGGGGTCTCACTATGTTGTCCAGGCTGGTTGCACACTCCTGGGCTCAAGTGATCCTACCACCTTGGCCTTTCAAAGCATTGGAATTACAGGCATGAGACATCACCCCGACCCATCTCTCATCTAAAGGCGTCTGTGAATCTACTGAGCACTGTGACACACTGCGAAGATGAAACTCTGCACACACATTCCCTTCATTTCTTTTGAGATATCTCGCTCTGTCACCCAGGCTGGAGTGCAGTAGCGTGATCGCTCCGCCTCCAGGTTCCAGCGATTCTCCTGTCTCAGCCTCTGAGGAGCTGGGACTATGTAGGTGTGCACCACCAAGCCTGGCTTTTATAATTTTAGTAGAGATGAGGGTTCACTATGTTGGCCAGGCTGGCCTCGAACTCCTGACCTGTAGGTGTGAGCACCGTGCCCAGCATCCCTTCCTCTTTACTGACTACCAGGCACTGTTCTAAGTGCCTTCACTTTCACAGCGGCCCTATGGTGCAGGTACATTACCCATATTTTACAGATGAAGAAACTAAGGCGCAGAGAGAGGTTAAGGAACTTGCTTAAGGTTACAGCACTGGTAAGTGGTAGAGCTGGGGCTCAGACCTCGGCAGTCCGATTCAAGTCTATGTTCTCTATTTACTTATTTATTTATTTTTCTGAGACAGGGTCTCGCTCTATTGCCCAGGCTGGAGTGCAGTGGTGTGATCTTGGCTCACTGCAACCTCTGCCTTCTGGGTTCAAGCAATTCTCTTGCCTCAGCCTCCTGAATAGCTGGAATTACATGTGTGAGCCACCACACCTGGCTAATTTTTTTTGTATTTTTAGTAGAGATGCGGTTTCACCATGTCGGTCAGGCTGGTTTTGAACTCCTGGCATCAGGTGATCCACCTGTCACAGCCTCCCAAAGTGCTGGGATGACAGGCGTGAGCCACCACGCCCGGCTCTTTTATTTTGAGAGATGGTGTCTTACTCTGTTGCCCAGGCTGGAGTGCAGTAATACCTGGAGAGCTCATGACAGCCTTGACCTCCCAGGCTCAAGCGATCCTGTTGCCTCAGCCTCCTGAGTAGCTGGGACTACAGGTGGGTGCCACCACACTTGGCTACATTAAAAAAAAATTTTTTTGTGGAGGTGGGAGTCTTGCTATGTTGCTGAGGTGGGAGGATCGCTTGTACCCAGAGTTCAAGGCTGCAGTGAGCCGTGATTGCACCACTGCACTCCAGCCTGGGTGACAGAGCAAGATGTGTACTTTTATTTTTTTGTCTTGTGACAGGGTCTCACTCTGTTGCCCAGGCTGGAGTGTAGTGGTGCAATCATAGCTCACTGCAGCCTTGATTGGGCTCAGGTGATGCTCCGACCTCAGCCCTTTGAGTGGATGGGACTACCAGCATGCGCTACCATGCCTGGCTAACTTTTAGTATTTTTTTGTAGAGATGGGGTCTCATTGTGTTGCCCAGGCTGGTCTCAAACTCCTGGGCTCAAGCAATCCGCCCGCCTCCCAAGGGATTACAGGCATAAGCCACCGCACCCTGCCAAGACCTTGTGCATTTAAAAAAAGAAAACAAAAGAAGAAGCTGGCCTGGGATAACGTGTCACTGATGTGTATCATTGCCGCCTGACACAGAGACCATATACTTCTTGCTGTCCAATAAATATGTCCACGTGGGGTGTCACCCATTCTCAGTTAAGTCTCAAAACACCCTCACGAGGGTGTAAGAGGTCTCGCCCTCAGCACGTGAGCAAGCTTGCTGGGATATCTACTGCCCCCAAACCCCTTGCCGCACTCAAGAGATCAAAATGATCTAACAGAGGCTACACAGAAAGTGCCAGTGGGAGAAGCTAACTCTACATACCCCGCTTCAAGTATAGATTCTTTCTACTGAGACACAGCAGTCTTTAACAGGGTGTCACCAAAGACCTCGGGACAACATCATGCAAAGAAGAGACTGGCCTTTGCAGGCTCTCTTGGTTTGCCAGCACGGGAGCCCTCAACATGGGCACCCAGTCAGGCTGGTCTGACAGTGGCAGCAGCTAACCCAGACCCCAGGCACAGCCAGGAGCGCTTGTGACCAGATCTTCCACTGCCCCATGGCTGCCCGGAGTGGCCACTCTCTGCCTCGATTCAGTGGCTGAAGCAGAGTCTGCTGTGGTGGCTTTTCCCTCTGCCCTGGTTATTCCATTATTTGAGAAGAAATTTCCAGCTTGGACAACAAGCGATCTCCAACGTTCCCTAAGCCGGTTTCTAATCTCTGGTTAGCGGTCACCACAGTGCAGTGAGAAATGCACCTTAAATTAGCCGGGTGTGGTGGCGGATACCTGTAGTCCCAGCTTCACTCTGGAGGCTGAAGTGGGAGGATCGCTTGAGCCCAGGACGCGGAGGTTGCAGGGAGCTGAGACAGCGCCACTGCACTCCAGCCTGAGTGACAGAGTGAGAGACCCCCATCTCAAACAAACAAACAAAATAAGGAAATACATCTTTGGGAGGCGTTTATACTACAAAACCATGGTGGCTGGCTCAAGTGAGAACTCTGCTGTGACTGAGGGCAGACGCGATGATCAATACTTGGGCCCACAGCATTGCCACACAAGGAACTCCTTTTCCACGACACACAGAGACTGCTGCTTCTGTGAATTACACAATCTACTCTCAGTCTTCCAGAGAGCCTGTGCCAAGGCGTGCCAGAGAATGATCCGGCTCCTGAGGAGACAGCACCCTGCTGGTAGCCGGGATGCAGCACAGATGCCACGCGGGGGCGAGGAACATGGTCCGTTTCTTTCTTTCTTTTTTTTTTTTGAGACAGAGCCTCACTCTGTCTTCAGGCTGGAGCGCAGTGGCGTGAACCACCGCAGAGTGCAGCCACCGCAACCTCTGCCTCCCAGGTTCAAGCGATTCTCCTGCCTCAGCCTCCCGAGCAGTGGGATCACAGACGTGCACCACCACACCTGGCTAATTTTTGTATTTTTAGTAGAGACGGACTTTCACCATGTTGGCCAGGCTGGTCTCGAACTCCTGACCTCAGGTCCACCCGCCTCAGCCTCCCAAAGTTCTGGGATTGCAGGCATGAGACACTGCACCCGGTTCAGGGTCAGTTTCAAGTATATTAACCTTGCTAGTTTGCACCTGTCCCTGAAATAGCTGTGACCATCCAAAAGCCTAAAGCCTACCTGAGAACTCCACTAACAATCACCGACACATCCCAAGTTTCCTTTCCTCCTTTCCACAGTATCCTGAAAAATTTTTTTTTTTGAGACAGGGTCTCACTCCTTCAGAGGCTGGAGTACAGTGGTGCAATCTTGCCTCACTGCAGCTTCAAACTCTCAGGCTCAAGTGATCCTTCCATCTCAGCCTCTTGAGTAACTGGGACTACAGGTGTGCATCACCACACTTGGCTAATTTTTGTATTTTTTGTAGAGACAGGGTCTCACCAGGTGGCCCATGTTGGTCTTAACGCCTGAGCTCAGGCGATTTGCCTGCCTCCGCCTCCCAAAGTGCTGGGATCACAGGCAGGAGCCACCACACCTGGTCTATCCCGAAATTTGGTGTCTCAAGAACACTGAGAAGAGGCACCGTGGCTTTCAGAGAAAATACTTCTCGTATTTTGCAATGCTTTGCAAACTAACTGCCACAGACAGTCATACCTGCAGTCTCACATCTGCCCATTTTGTCTGCCTTTCTGTCTGTTGGAAATTTCTTTTCATGGTTACCATTTGGATAAATGCCCTGCACCCCTTTTTTTGACATGGAGTTTCGATCTTGTTGCCCAGGCTGGAGTACAATGGCATGATCTCGGCTCACTACAGCCTGTGCCTCCCAAGTAGCTGGGATTACAGGCACCTGCCACCATACCTGGCTAATTTTTTGCATTTTTATTAGTAGAGATAGGGTTTTGCCATGTTGGCCAGGCTGGTCTCGAACTCCCGACCTCAGGTGATCTGCCAGCCTGGGTCTCCCAAAGTGCTGGGATTACAAGCGTGAGCCACTGCGCCTGGCCAAGGATAAACATCTCTACCCACGGAGTGACGGTTTACAAAGCGCTGTCATGCATTTGTGGACAGGTGCATGTCCCTGTGACCTTGTTTACTTTCATGCCAGCTCTGGGAGGTCGGCAGCACCATCCGATCCCCATTTTCCAAAAGCAAACATGGATGCCACCAGATTCAAAGCCTCCTTACCTCTCACTCTCATCTGCGGCCTTTTCCGCCTCCTCCAGCTTCTGCAGGGCTGTGGCCAGTCGTTCCTGAGCCCTGTCCAGCTCCTCCTCAACGAGCTGGATGCGTCGGTTAAGGGCAGCCACATCACCTTCAGCCTGGGGGGGTTGGAGGTGCAGCCAAGTTAAGAAGTATCGGGCCACCCACCAGTGGGAATCTCTCATGTGTGCCGCCCTCCATTAACCCGATTTCCCCGTCAAAGCCCACCCAGGAGTCCAGGCCATAAGAAACTGACACTCGTACCAAAATTTCAGTATGATCTTCCCTGAAAATGTCCAGGAAATACATCCACCACTCAATAGTAAAAGGCGAGTGTCCCAGTACAAGACAGGGAGTTGAGTCAACGCAGGAGACGAACATACCACGTGCTTTGAGATCAGTGTCAGTGCTGGCCTCCCCAGCAGCTCACAATAGACCCAACGTTAGGCTAAGACCTAAGATAGGCTATTCTCTGAAAAAGGCGCACAGTGTTACCGTGTAGAGTTCTAGGGCTCACTGTGGGATTCCTAGAAAGAAGGCCAACAGTGACCTGGCTCATTGTGTCCCGTGAGTCCCACTCCCATTCACTGGAACGGCAAGATAAATCCAAGAATATGAAGCCCTCAGTTAAATGTTGGCCACGCAATTACCAAGGTAGGAAAAGGTGGGGCAGCCTTGTTGGAATTCCATCCTTCCATCAGCCTGGCTGAGAGATGGCAGGACAAAAAGATATGAAAACGGAAAGAAAACTTGGCTGCAGGCATGGAAGACATACCCCAACAGTGTTACTGGCTTTTCGACGTGTTTTTACCTACAAGGAAGGAAGTACAATGGAAAGCAATAAAGCAGGAACTCCAGGGCCAAAAAGTGCTGGGTTGGAATCCCCCGATTTGTCATTTTCTTTTCCTTTTATTTTTTTGAGATGGAGTCTCTTGCTGTCACCCAGGCTGGAGTGCGGGGCACAATCGTGGCTCACTGCAACCTCCACCTCCCAGGTTCAAGCAGTTCTCCTGCCTCAGCCTCCCAAGTAGCTGGGATTACAGACGTGCACCACGCTTGTAATTTTTTGTATTTTTAGTAGAGCCAGGGTTTTGTCTTGTTGGCCAGGCTGGTCTCAAACTCCTGGCCTCATATGATCCACCCGCCTGGGCCTCCCAAAGTGCTGGGATTACAGACATGAGCCACTGCCCAGCCATACTTTGCCATTTTCTTCTTTTTGTTGTTGTTCAGACAGAGTCTTGCTCTGTCACCCAGGGTGGAGTACAATGGCGTGATTTTGGCTCACTGCAATCTCTGCCTCCCCGGTTCAAGCCATTCTCCTGCCTCAGCCTCCCAAATAGCTGGGGTTACAGGCACCAACCACCATGCCTGGCTAATTTTTGTATTTTTAGTAGAGATGAGGTTTCGCCATGTTGACCGGGATGGTCTCGAACTCCTGACCTCAGATGATCCACCTGCCTCGGCCTCCCAAAGCGCTGGGATTATAGGCATAGCCACCGCGCCCAGCTGCTTTGTCATTTTCATAGCCACGTGGTGTTGGGAAGGTTGCTTCACTGTCCTGGCCCTCTCCATCCCAAAGCCTGGTTAGTTACAGGACTGCCTTGAGGCTGTAACTCCAGGATGTGGCGCTGCTTACCCCCAGCAGGTGGGACATGCCAGAGAAGTGCATCTCTTACTGCCATGGTTTTATTTTACTGCAATTTCATCCTCACACACTGCACCCATTTTACAAGTGGAGAAACTGAGGGGCCCCACCAGGGAAAGTGGTTTTGTTCACTGACTCAGTTGGTAAGATATGAATGGCCTCTAAGACCCATCCAGGGCTCTTCCTTGTCGGAACCTGTCCCCTAGGTCCTGCCAGGGCTTCGAAGCCAGGCAAGTTGTCCAGTGATGCCCACTCTTCGGAAGGAATATTGAGAATAGGTCAAACAGGCGTCAATCAAGGGAAAAAAGGAAGCCACACTAGCTTTTTCCTATCAAGGCAAATGAAGAATCCCTGAATTGGGAAGGCTATCAAAATTATTAGGAAGGCCGGGTGTGATGTCTCACACCTGTAATCCTACCACTTTGGGAGGCCGGGCAAGTGGATGGATCACATGAGGTCAGGAGTTTGAGACCAGCCTGACCAACATGGTGAGATATCGTCTCTAATAAAAAAGCAAAAAATTAGTTGGCGTGGTGGTGGCACCTGCAATCCCAGCTACTTGGGAGGCTGAGGCAGAATAATCGCTTGAATCCAGGAGGTTGCAGTGAGCTGAGATTGCGCCACTGCATTCCAGCCTGGACAACGGAGTGAGACCTGTCTCAAAGAAACAAAACAAAACAAACAGCCTGGCACGGTGGCTCACGCCTGTAATTCCAGCACTTTGGTAGGCCGAGCTGGGCGGATCACCAAGTCAGAAGTTCGAGACCAGCCTGGCCAACATAGTGAAACCCCATCTCTACTAAAAATACAAAAATTAGCTGGCATGGTGGTATACCTGTAGTCCCAGCTACTTGGAAGGCTGAGGCAGGAGAATTGCTTGAACCTGGGAGGCGGAGGTTGCAGAGAGCTGAGACCACATCACTGCACTCCAGCCTGGGTGACAGAGAGAGACTCCATGTCAAAAAAAAAAAAAGAAAGAAAAAATTATTAGGAAACCACTCCCTGTCCTGTTCCCTAAGTTCATATGGGAAAAAAAAAAGAACGAGGTTAACATGGCTGAAAGACATAAGTAGTGTCAGGAAGGCTTCTCAGCCCCAGACTCCTAGAAGCAGATGGGCACTCCCACAGGTGTTTCTGATTGCAGCGTCCTCTGAAACACCAATGCAGAGAATCCATGAAAACCACTGATGAAACCGTCTTAAGAAACGCCACTCAGGCCTTCCCATGAATGGGTGCCTTTCATTCTTTTTAATTGCATCGATCTTAACTCCTCCTACCACCTTCAGTAACTGGGGCAGGAACTGATGTTGCAAAAAATAAAAATTAAAAAACGCCACCAACACCATTATCCAATTCCAGGACATTTTCCACCCGCCAAAAACAATCAATCAAAAACCAAAACCGTGTACCTATTAGCAGTCAAGGAATTGATTTGAAAGATCAAACAGAGGTGCTTGATTCCTGAGGTGTCTTTTAAGAAGTGAGTAGCCCTTACGTGGGAAATTCTGAATCCTGACAGCCAGCGCCTTTGGCAGATTTCCAACTGTCTGGAGCTGAGAGATACACGCATATCTATACACTCATACATATATATGTATTTTTGAAAAACTGCTAGTCACTGCCAGTCATTTTGGGTTCCGCCCCTTCCTGCAATCAAAGCCTTCCACAGGCTACAAAGGATTTCCCTTATAAGGTAAAAGAGGCTTGCTAGTTACATGTGGCAAAGGAACAGGAAGATGTCAGTTAATCACACAAAAATCTAAACGAAACCAGCTGTCGGGAAACAGGCCCAGAAGTCTACCACATGCCGGCTCCTGGCTTATTCTACAAGAGTGAGAGTTTTTTTTTTTTTTAACCCACCCTGTTCTTAGTTCCTTTTGCCCTGGGAGAGGTTTTTCCCTCTCCCAGACAGAGAAGCACCCTTTGCTTTTTCAAGAACTTTTGAAAGTCTTCAACTTTCCAAAAAACATCATCCCTCCCAACTAAACGGTCCCACTCCTAAGTCTTGGCTTTTCGGCTGAGGGCCATTTTGAAGCCGAGTTAATTGTCCTCCAGTGAGATGACTTGGGATGAGATCAGAGGGAGAGCCGTGTCGGTTAAGTGTGAGAAAGAGGCCAGACTGGCTACCAATTGCGGCTTACACCGGGTTTCTAAGGACTCTTCAGGCCAAAGCAATCCTTACAGGATTAAACGCTTCAACCACGGCCCAGGTTGCGGCCCCCATCTGGACCCTTTCCAGACCTTGCAATTCACACCACCGATTCCATCTGGCCAGGCACCTATTGCCCCTCTAGGGTCCCCACTTGAGCCTTAACACTTACTTAGCTTTCAGGGCTCTTGGGCTTCGACCTCTACCCGCACTGCTCCCCATCCCCCCACACCATACAACTTTCTTGCCTCTGAGTCTGTGCACACTCATTTCTCTGGTCCCAGTAAACTTATTCTATAAGACCCTGCTCAACCTCCATTTTGGAGCCTCCCGCGTGGAATTCCTCTGTGGAATGCAAATCTCACTTCATCAGTGAGTCAGTTCCTCTGTCTCCATTTGTCTGTGAGCTCTCCCCAGGGCAGAGGGAAGGCACAGAAAACACAATCGAGGCCGGGCGCGGTGGCTCAGGTTTGTAATGCCCGCACTTTGGGAGGCGGAGGTGGATGGATCACTTGGTCAGGAGTTCGAGACCAGCCTGGACAACATGGTGAAACCCCGTCTCTACCAAAAATACAAAAAATGCCGGGTGCGGTGGCCCAGGCCTGTAATCCCAGCACTTTGAGAGGCTGAGGCGGGCCGGATCACCTGAGGTCAGGAGTTTGAGACCAGCCTGGCCAACATGGGGAAACCCTGTCTCTGAAAACAAACAAAAAACAAAAACAAAAAAATTAGCCGGGTGTGGTGGCGGACGCCTGTGATCCCAGCTACTTGGGAGGATGAGGCAGGAGAATCGCTTGAACACGGGAGGTGGAGGTTGCAGTGGGCTGAGATCGCGCCACTGCACTCCAGCCTGGGTGACAGAGCGAGACTCTGTCTCAAAAATAAAACCAAGAAACAAAACACAATTGAGCACTTACAAAGCACCAGGCTCCACGCCTGAGACTCCTGGGACCCTCCCTGCTACTCTGAGGGGTCGGCATTCTTATCAGTCCTACTCACAGATGGGGAAAACAGGTCCTAAATTGTAAACACCAAGTCATGCAGCTGGTAGGTGGCATGAGATGGGACCAGATCAGTTCCCAGCCCCTGGCGGTGCCACCTTCTGTCCCGAGGGACAGCCAGGGGATGATGCTGAGGAGGTGGTGAAACTCCCTCCTTTTTCAGACCCATTGTCTGTCTCGGGCCCCGCGACTCCTGGCGGAGGCGCACTGCAGGCGCTCAAACGATCGTGGGTCCAGGGCCCCGCGGTAGCGTTCCCAGGGCCTTCTGGAGGAAGGCAGGGTCCCGCCGCCCAGGTTCCCGCAGGAATCAGCTGGAGAGAGAAAGGCGGGCGGCTCGGGGCTGAACTTCCGCCACCCCCCCACCACGCCTGGAGCAGACACGTCGCCGCCGCGCCCCTGGGAACGGTCGGGGAAGTCCAGGCAGGAGCTGGGAAGCCGCGACAGAGGCGAGAAAGTGCGACCCCCTCCCCAGATCCCCGGACCGCCGCCGAAATCCCGGTCGGCCGGTCAAAGCCCAGACAATAGAAGCTCCACGTTTCCATCCTTACTCCCCGCCCCCAAGTCCGGCCGCGGGTTTCCCTCCGCCCGGGACCCCGGCGCCAGCCCCGAGCCGGAGCCTGCATGGTGCAACCCTCACGCCGCTCCACCTCTTCCACCCGCGGATCGCGCACCTCCTCGGTCCCATCCCCCATTTCCCGCGCGGCCGGCCCCGCCCGACCGGGATGCGGCGCCCCCTCCCCAGTCCCAGGCCCAGGAGGGAGGACGGAGGCGGAAGAAAGGGGTCCCGGGCGCGGGGAAGCGGGTCCGCGATCAGGCCCCGAGGGCTGCGCGAGGGCGCGCGGGCAGCAGGGAAGAAAGGAGGGCGCGCGGGGGAGGAGGCTGCGGGCGCAGGGCCGGGGCAGGGGCGCTCACTTTCTCGCGCCGCTCGCGCTCGCCGTCCAGCTCCCGCTGCAGGCCCTGCGCGCGGTCTTCCGCCTCGTCCGCCTGCTGCTGCAGGGCCTGGATCTTGCGTTTCACCGCCTCCAGGGAGTTGAGGCCGGCCATGGCGCGGAGGCGCAGAGGCGCAGAGGCGCAGAGGCGCAGAGGCGCACGGGCAGCGGCGGGCGCTCGGCTGGGCTCGGCTCCGGCGAGAGCTGCACGGCCGCGCCCCGGCCCCCCAGCCTTTGCCTGCGCGGGGGCCGCCCCCGCCTCTCCCCGCCCCCCGGGCCGGCCGCCGTCGGGGCGATGAGGTCACCCGGCCTGGCCGCCGACGTCAGCACCGCTGGGGGAGGGCCTGACGTCGGCACCGCTGGCCACAACTGCTGGAAAGTGCCCCTTTTCGGGACTTATTTGGAGAAAGCGCCGGGAGGCACCGCCTCCTCCTCCTCCTCTTCCTCCTCCTCTTCCTCCTCCTGCGGCGCTCTCCGCCCACCCACCCACCGGGCCCCGCCGCGGGCTCCCGCATCCCTGCGCTCGTACGTCGGAGGCTTTCTTCTCCGTGAGCTCCAGCTTCTCCTGAGCGTCCTTCAGATCCTCGGAATATTTGTCCAGCTCGTCCTCGGTCCCTTTTAGTTTCTTCTGGAGGTGCGTCAGCTCTTCCTCCACCTGGGGACGACAGAGCGGGGGACCGGTCAGCCTGGGGGCTGGGGCACGTCCCCGAGGTGCAGGGGTGCCCACCCATATTCACAAGTGCCCTGCCTCTCTCAGGGCCTCAGTTTCCTCATCTGTAAAACGGGTTACCTACCATAGCATGCACCACGCCATCCATGGTTACTTGATTGTCACATCGTCCTTCCCTCGTCCTGAGGACCAGCTGTTTTAGCCTTATTGGGGTCCTCAGGACTCTAGGGAAATTGATGACCGCTTTTGGGAAACTGAAGACGCCACACGTTTTCCAGAAATACACACGCCGGTTTCAGGGGTGCGGCCTCACCATGATCTGGGGTTAAGCAGTCTCATTCTCCGCGTCTGGATTCCCCCCACATCCCTGTCCCCACCCTTTCGTTCTGACCTCAACACGGGCAGTCAGAGAAACTTTCTAACCAATACATCTGCTCTCCCTCTGCCTAGAACGTGCTATGGCTCCCTATGGCCCAAGGCAGTGGTTTTCTCACTGTCTCACCAAAATACTCTGAAGGGCTGAAGGGCTCAGATCTAGGGCCTCATTTCCGGGCTTTGGAGGCTTGGCTAGAAGAGACTCATCGCTACAGGGTCACTTTCTTTGAAGGCTCCCTTTAAGTCTTTAAATTTTTTTGCATATAGGCCATGTTCATTTTAATAAAATGTCCCCTTCTTTCCCTACATTTTCAGTCCTCTGTTTATCCCAAGACTCTGTCCCTATCCTCCCACCACTCCCAGTTTGAGAAGTTCAGGTCTATGGGACACAAACCACAGCCCCCATCACCTCTCATCTTTGTCACCCCCCACCACACGGACCAAGAGCCGCCTCAAGAAGCCTTTCCTGTCACCTCCAGGCTCTAACTCCCTCCCTGGGCCCCCAACTCTGGCTTAGGATGATCATATCCAGTTCATGCCTGCATCTGAATTTTTTTTTTTTTTTGAAAGTCTCACTCTGTTGCCCAGGCTGGAGTGCAGTGGCGTGATCTCAGCTCACTGCAACATCTGCCTCCTGGATTCAAGTGATTCTCCTGCCTCAACCTCCCAGGTAGCTGGGATTACGGGCACACACCACCACACCCAGCTAATTTTTGTATTTTCAGTAGAGATGGGGTTTTGCCATATTGGCTAGACTGGTCTTGATCTCCTGACCTCAAGTGATCTGCCTGCCTTAGCCTCCCAAATAGTTGGGATTACAGGCATGAGCACCACACCAGGCTTGGATCTGTCTTTTGCCTCAGATCATTTGGCACTCATCTTGTTCCTGCTCCAGGGTGGGCAAGCAGCCCCCACCGAGCCAAGCTTCATTCTCCTGCTTCCTCCCCACAGCAGGAGGCTCAGAGAGGTGGAATGATTTTCCCCAGGTCACACAGCACAGGGTTTGAGCCCTCGTCTTCTGAAGATAAGCCTATTATGAACTGAATGCTTGCTTCTGCCCCCTCTCCAATTAATATGTTGAAGCCCTCATCTCCGTGTGATGGTAACTGGTGATGGGGGCCTTTGGAAGATGATGAGGTTTAGGTGAGGTCTTGAGGGTTGACCCACCATGATGGGATTAGAGTCCTCATGAGAAGAGACCAGAGCTTGGTTTTCCTCTTCCCATGGGAGGACACAGCAAGAAGGTGACCATCTGCAAGCTAGCTAGAGAGCCCCCCCAGACATGGAATCTGCTGGCACCTTGATCTTGGACATCTAGCCTCCATACTGTAAGCAGTAAATGTCTAGTATTGAATCCACCAGTCTGTGGTGTTTGTTATAACTGCCTGAGCCGATGAAGAAGAAACCCTTGATCTTGTTGGTCACACCAGGCCAGCTTTCCTTCCTCCCTCTGTGACTTGCGTCTCTTCTTTTTCTTCCTGAAGAGGGTATGTTTAAAAAGCTGCTGTGCCTGTGGCTTCAGCTCTCAATCCTCTCTGGGTTACAGGCTCACCCCTGAGAGGATGTGCAAAATGTACCAGGTGCCCCATGTGTGTGTGCGCGTGTGTGTCTGTGTGAGCATGTATGTGCATTATTATTAATCTTTCATTTCTGAGACAGAGTCTGGCTCTGTCACCCAGGCTGGAGTGCAGTGGCGAGATCTCAGCCCACTGCAACCTTCGCTTCACGGGTTCAAGCAGTTCTCTGCCTCAGTCTCCCAAGTAGCTGGGATTACAGGCGTGAGCCGCTGCACCAGCCTCGTGTGTGCATTTTTTGGCTTTTTTTTTTTTTTAAGATATGGTCTTGCTCTGTCTCCCAGGTTGGAGTACAGTGGTGTGATCATAGCTCACAGCAGCCTCAACCTCCTGGACTCAAGTGATCCTCCTGCCACAGCCTCCCAAGTAGCTGGAAAGTGTGAACTCTTAAAAGGCTGTATCGCAGCCTGGCCAACATGGTGAAACCCCGTCTCTACTAACAATCCAAAAATTAGCCAGGCATGGTGTCCGGCACCTATAGTCCCAGCTACTCAGGAGGCTGACAGGAGAATTGCTTGAACCTGGGAGGCGGAGGTTGCAGTGAGCCGAGATTGCACCACTGCACTCCAGCCTGGTCGACAGAGCGAGACTCCATCTCAAAAAAAAAAGAAAAAGAAAAAAGGCATCCAGGCATCCTGTCTTGGGGGCTGCTGGAGGATGGGGTGGAGGCTGGCAGCTGGGGTTCAACTGAAGTCACTTAGGTGACCTGTAAAGGTCTCTAGCTGAGGTGCTGCAGAGAGCAGGGAGGGCGATTCTGTCTGACATCCCAAGCCCGACCAGGGCTGCCTGTGGATCAGGGCAAAGTCAGAGTCTACAGAGCCTGACGACCTCCAGGCTGGGATCCTGGAAGCCAGACTCCACACCCAAGCTCTGTGACCCCCGTCCCCTTCTCTGTCCTCAGTTCCTTCATCTGCAGAGCAGAAGCCTTGACCTGCTGGTCTCTGAGCGTTTCGGCAGCTGCTTTTGCACTTCTGCCTGGACTTGAGAAAATGGGCCAGTTTCCTTAGAGACGTTTCAGACAGAGGTCAGCCCTGACCTATAGCGTCCACCTGACTTCCTTCCAGGTCTGTGGGTCACAGCGTTTACTGAGTGCCAACCGTGTGCCGAGCACTGGGCTCTCCTAACATGTAGGAAGAGGAAGAGCAAATCTGACAGCATTGGGTTCATCAGGATATGAAGATGGCTTGGGTGTTTTGCTTTTGTTTTTTTTGAAATAGGGTCTCGCTGTGTTATCCAGGCTGATCTCGGACTGCTGGTCTCAAGGATCCTCCCACTTCAGCCTCCTGAGGGGCTGGGACAACAGGCATAAGTCACTCCCCGACTGGTTGGGAGGTTTTTTGTTTGTTTGGTTTGGGGTTTTGACTACTTTTTTGGGGGGAATGTTCTGGGCAAGAACAAGGTGAGGACAGGGATAAAGGTGGCAGGAGGCTATTCGGCACTTAGAATGTGTTGGGTGTGTTACAAAGATATATATTTATTTTTGAGGTGGAGTCTTGTTCTGTTACCCAGGCTGGAGTGTAGTGGCACGATCTCGGCTCACTGTAACTTCAGCCTCTCAGGTTCAAGTGACTCTCCTGCTTCACCCTCCCTAGTAGCTGGGATAACAGGCTCTCGCCACCACACCTGACTAATTTTTGTGTTTTTTGTAGAAACAGGGCTTCGCCAGGCTGGTCTCGAACTCCTGACCTCAGGTGATCGCCCCACCTCAGCCTCCCAAAATGCTGGGATTACAAGTTTGAGCCACTGTGCCCGGTCAGGGCGTGTTACAAATATTGTCTCTGGGAGGTCCCATACTACAGAAGGGCAAACAGAGTCTCTGAAAGGGGAATGGACTTGCCTGATGCCACACAGATGGGGGGTTTGAATCTTTGTTAGTCTGATTCCAAAGCTGGTTTGCTTGATTTCTAGACCATGCTGGACCCGCTGCTAAGAATGGCTTTCTGCTTTTCACTGGGAGGGCTTCTACTGTTCCTCCATGCCCAGTCCCAAGGCTCCCCACCCTGGTGGCCTGCTCTGCTGCCCTGAGCAGAGCTTTCGCCACCCCTATGACTCTCCCAACCTCTGTCCCTCCCTGTGGCCCACACCTGACCTCTGAGCTGGAGGTATTCATAGTCTGACTGTCGCCCTCAGCCTGGAGTTCCTTGGGGGTCAAGTCTGGGACTGAGGCCACTAAGGGAACACTGTAAGAAGTGTTTGGGATGACACTGCGTGTTCTCACTCATAAGTGGGTGTTGAACAATGGACACAGGGAGGGGAACATCACACACGGGCTTGTTGGGGGATGGGAAGCCAGGGGAGGGATAGCAGGGGGTAGGGGATAGGGGAGGGATAGCATTTGGAGAAATGCCTAATGCAGATGGCAGGGTGATGGATGCAGCAAACCACCATGGCATGTGTGTACCTAGGTAACAAGCCTGCATGTTCTGCAGCTGTACCCCTGAACTTTTTTTTTTTTTTTTTGAGACAGTTTCGCTGTTGTTACCCAGACTGGAGTGCAATGGCACGATCTCGGCTCACCGCAACCTCCGCCTCCTGAGTTCAAGCAATTCTCCTGCCTCAGCCTCCCGGGTAGCTGGGACTACAGGCATGCACCACCATGCCCAGCTAATTTTTGTATTTTTAGTAGAGACGGGGTTTCACCATGTTGGCCAGGATGGTCTCGATCTCTTGACCTCGTGATCCACCTGCCTCGGCCTCCCAAAGTGAGGGATTATAGGCGTGAGCCACTTCACCCAGCCAACCCCTGAACTTAAAGTATAATATTTAGAAAAGTGTTTGGGATGAATCAGTGACAACCCCAAACCCTTCAGTGGTAGGCAGTGGGTATAAAAATAGGTGAGCCCTCGCTGGGCGTGGTGACTCATGCTTGTAATCCCAGCACTTTGGGAGGCCGAGGCAGGCGGATCATGAGGTCAGGAGTTTGGGATCAGCCTGACCAACACTGTGAAACCCTATCTCTACTAGAAATACAAAAAATTAGCCAGGTGTCGTGGTGCGCACCTGAAATCCCAGCTTCTCAGAAGGCCGAGGCAGGAGAATTGCTTGAACCCAGGAGATGGAGGTTGCAGTGAGCCGAGATGGTGCCACTGCACTCCAGCCTGGGGGATAGAGTGAGACTCTGTCTCAAAAAAAAAAAAAAGATTAGATCAGGCTCTGTGGCTCATGCCTGTGATCCCAGCACTTTGGGAGGGTAAGAGGGGAGAATCACTTGCGCCCAGGAGTTCAAGACCAGAATGGGCGACATAGTGAGACCCTGTCTCTACAAAAAATAAATAACTAGCTGGGTGTAGAGGGGCATGCCGATAGTCTTGGCTACTGGGGAGGCTGAGGTGGGAGGATCATTTGAGCCTGGGAGTTCCAGACTGCAGTAAGCTATGATTGTACCACTGCACTCCAGCCTGGGCAGCAGAGTGAGACCCCATCTGTAAAAATTAAATAAAAAATTTAAACAATCAGACATGCACCAGGTTTCTTTCCATCTACCCAAATTCCATATGCCAGGTACACGCTAGTCTACAGAGCCTTGCTGTAACCAGTCATTGGCCCTCTGCAGGCCTCAGTTTCCCTGCCTGTAATATGATTACCTTAGTCCCTGCAAATGGGGCCTTGGGGCGGGGCCGAGGCAGGATGTGGGGTCAAAGGCCAGTGGTGGAGGATGTTGCTGCCCTGGGAGGGGAGGGGAGTAGGCAGGAAGCGGCTGGGCTGGGTCTCTTTGTCCTATTCCCACACTGGGTAGGCAGGGCCAGAAATCAACGCTTGGCTGCCCAGTCCCCCAGGGTCAGGCTGGCCCAAGAGCTGCTCTCTCTGGCCTCCTGCAGAGTCAGGCACTCTAAGTGCCTCTATTCCTCAGCAGGACTGGCCATCGGCCCTCGTGGGGCTCTGGCTTCTGCTTGGGAATTCTGGAATCTTGGGTTCCACACCTGAACAGCAGAAGGCATCATTTGTCCCCATTTCACAGATGGGGACACTGAGGGCTCAGAGATGCACAGGAACGTGTCCTCAGTCATGAGGCTAGGAGGGTCACAAAAACCAGGCTCCATGGCTCATGCCTGTGATCCCAGCACTTTGGGAGGTTGAGGTGGGAGGATCACTTGAGCCCAGGAGTTCGAGACCAGCTTGGGCAACATAGTGAGACCCTGCCTCTACAAAATGTAAAATAACTAGCTGGGCGTAGGGGTGCTTGCCTATAGTCCCAGCTACTGGGGAGGCTGAGGTGGGAGGATTGCTTGAGCCTGGGAGTTCGAGGCTGCAGTGAGCTGTGATTGCACCACTGCACTCCAGCCTGGGCAGCAGAGTGAGAGCCCATCTCTAAAAAATAAAAATAAGTAAAAGAAGACTGACATACACAACTTATGTGCTAGTCTATGGAGACTTGCTCTGAGTCCACGTCTGCTCCAGTGGCCATCTTTGTGGGACAAAAAAGGCGTAATCAAAAGAAGCTGTCCTCACCTCCTTGGCCACACAGCTGCCTGGAGGCTTTGAGGCTCCTTCCCTTTTGAACTTGTGGCCTTGGGAGATGAAGCTGTATCAGCCGCTCATACCTTAGTAAGAATTAGAGCTGTAAACTTGTTTCTCTTTGAATCTCTGGCTAAGTCCCTCATGGTGAGGGCTAAATGATGGATAGAAGCTGGCCCAGCACAGGATGGATGTCTGTGTTTGCCAGGGAGGGTCATACAGAAGGCAGAGGGAGCTTGTGGCGGGGAACACTGGGGCGTGTTCCCTGTGACACAGACTCTTAGGGCAGCCCCGGGGCACTGGAGGCTGGGGAGGCCCAAAGGGGAAGTAGGGCGGGGCAGGAAATCAACCCACATTTATTGAGCGCTTACTCTGCACCAGGCGCTGAGCCAAGGGTGCCATCTGTACAGTCACCTCTAATCCTGTCATGGGGCGGCGAGGGAGGCCCTACTGTCACTTCCGCATCTCACTCGTGCAGCTGTAGCCGTCGAGAAACAGAGAGGCCGGGGTGTTTGCCCCGGGGCATCCAGCGACTGAGCCATAACTCAAACCAGTCTGAGCTCGGACTTTTGCCTTTAGCTGCTGGCTGGCAGGCTCCTGGCCTGGGCGGGGCTGGACACTGGGTGCCACGGTCCTAGGCACCTCCCAGGGCTTTATCTGAGACCTGGACGCTCCCCAGGGCTTGGCAGTTGACCTCCGGGTGGATAAACCTTGTGGGGAACATGGCTCTGTGGGAGGGGACTCCTCCCTTCCTTCCTCCCACCCACTGTCCCCGTCTGCTCTGCCCCAAGCCATGGCCACGACCTTGGGATCCTCATTGCCAGAGTTTCTGGGACTCTAGTTTACAAAGTTCTGGGTCTGTGTGGGCTCTTGGATGCCAGGAGATGGGAAATGGCCTCCTTGTCCTCTGTCTGCCATGGGCCACCCACCTCCCCCACCAGGGACCCCACCACACACACATCGAGACCCTACCCAGTCAGCCCTGCAGCAGGTCTCAGCCCTGGGACCCCACCACACACTCACACGCCCGGCCGCTCTCCCGGACAGCTGCCCATGAGACCTTGGGGTCCCGTTACAGTGGAGGCTTCCTGATCCAGGGGCACAGCATCACCTACAAGCACACACAGGTTGACACAGTCACCCTCACATCCACAAGCACACGCACACGCCAGCAGAAACAGTCACGGACACACACCCCGACAGAAACACACTCATCCACACATGCACCAATAGAAACACACACTCATCCACACACATACACACCCCAACAGAAACACACACTCATCCACACACCACCAGAAACATATCCACACATGCTGACACGCACACCCCAACAGAAACACTCATCCACACACACACAATAGAAACACACACTCATACACACACCAATTGAAACACACATCCACCCCAAGAGAAACACACACTCATCTAAACACACAGAGACACACCAGAAACAGTCACCAACATACACGCAACCCAACCCAACAGAAACACACATCCGAATGTGTGCACGCCCACACACGCATGCCAGCAGAAACCCGTCACCCGGACATACATATGCCAACGCAAACATAGCCACGTCAACGCGTAGCTTCGATCACCGTCATGCCAACATTTGCACAAGCACACACACAGCCCTCCTCTCCCGCCACCCTCATGGCCCCCTACCACCCACACACACAGGCTCACAAACACACCCACACTCTCTCACACCTTCCCGCACTGCGGGCAGCATCCCGCACTCTCACAGCCCTCCTGGTACTCTCCTGTTCTCACAGTCACCTTCACCCTTCCACACTCTCCTCCCCTGAAACACACGCACATGGACCACAGACACACACAACTTATGTGCACACACAGAAAAGCTCACACAGATACACTCACATACAGACACACAGAGAACTGTTCAAACACACACAAGTAAGTATACACACACAGACACACGCAGAAATGCTTAAACATGGATATACGCAGAGACACACAGAGAATTGCCCAAATACACACAAATACGTGTACGCATGCTCAAACATGTAGATACAGAAATGCTCACATACACAGATGTACACACACAGAGACTTGCTCAAACACACAGAAATGGCCAGGTGCGGTGGCTCACGCCTGTAATCCCAGCATTTGAGGAAGCATGGGCAGATCACTTGAGGTCAGGAGTTTGAGACCAGCCTGGCCAACATGGTGAAACCCCGTCCCTACTAAAAATACAAAATTAGCCAGGTGTGGTGACGCGCGCCTGTAATCCCAGCTACTCAGGAGGCTGAGGCAGGAGAATCACTTGAACCCGGGAGGCAGAAGTTGCAGTGACCTGCGATCTGGTCACTCCAACTTGCACTCCAGCCTGGTGACAGAGCAAGACTCTGTCTCAAATACACACACATACACCCCTGTACACACAACCACACCCTATACACACATACATGCCCAAACACACACAAATACAAACCTGTATACACACACATGCTAAAACACACACACGGCATGACCCCAACTGCCCTATCTAGTACACAACCTCCCAGCGGAGACGACAGGTCCACCTCCCTCGCAAACGTTCTCACTCTCTCCCTCCCCCACCACCTCTCTGTCAGACTCAGTTTGTTCGCACTGGCCCTGCTGGGGGTGGGTCTGATCGTCACCCCCCTTCCAGCCCAGAGCCCCATCCAAGGAAGGTTACAGTCCCCTCGCTCTTCCTCGCCCAAAGCATCAGCTGCACCCCCAGTCCTCCCGACCAGGGCCCCCGCACAGAGAGGATGCCCTGCAGCCCGGCGCGGCCCAGCAGAGGGAGGCTTACCTGCTTGCACTTGTCCTCGGCGGCTTTCTTATCCGCCTCGGCCTGCTCTGCTCGGTCGATGGCATTCTCCTTGTCCAACTTCAGCATCTGCATTTTCTTCTTGATGGCCTCCATGGCTGGGTGCTGGTGTGGGGGACGTGGGGGGCGCGGTGGGCTCTGTGGGGGCTGCGGCAGGCGGGGGCTGTGAGCAGGCGAGTGAGCCTGGCAGGGTGGAGGAGAAGCCCTTATAGCCTCCCCGGGTGCACCCGCCCTCCTGCCGGGCGAGTCTTGGAGGAGGACCAAGCCCAGGCCGGCCGGGCCAGCCGCCACTCGCTTGCTCAGGAGGACTTGGCCAGCTCACCGTGCTCCCCGCAGTCCTCGCCTTATTTGGACGTGGGATTTTTTTAAAGGAAGGAAAAAAAAAAAGGTCCTAGCTGCTTCCATTTTTAACCTGGTGACACAGGTCCCGCGTGGGCGTGTGGGCACGGCACAGACCCAGGAGAAGCTGCACGGGCAGGACCTGGGGTGGGTGCCGCTCTGGGCAGCCTCAGTTTCCCTGTTCGTCCTTGGGAGGAATGAAGAAGGCTTGCCGGTGGGTGCAGAGTCCTGGGGCTGCGATGTCGGGGGGGCTGCTGTCTTTTCTGCCTTGGGCTTGTCTGTGGCTCCCAAGTACCTGGTCCCCAGAAGATGGGAAAGTGCCTGTTAAGTAGAACGAGCAATCCCCCGCCCCCTTTTCTCTGCCTAGGAAACGTCTATCTTTCAAGGCCCAGATCTCACGGCCCCTCCTTCAGGAAGCCTTCCTGGATTCCTAAACAAGCTTGGCCTTTTAGCCCAGCATCAAACCTTCTCCTCTCCTCTAGGTCCTGGCTCTCTAGTGTCAGGGATTAGGCCTCCACTTCATTTCCTGCCACCATGCCCAGGGAGCCTTCCTGGATTTCTCCCACCTCTTTCTGTGGTGCCTCTGTCTCTCTTTTGGTGACTGTCTCTGCATCTCTTTCCATTGTCGCCGTCTCTCCTGCCCCCTGGTGGCTTTTACTGCATCTAGCTCACAAGGGCGAGAAGGCCACTCAACTGATCTGGGCCATCTCTGAAACTCTTGGAGCCCAAGGCAGGCTCCTGCTGTCCTCCTTAGGTCTCATGTCTTCCTTCCCTCCCTCTTGTGCTGGGAATCAAGCTATGGCTCCCCAGTTCCCAAAGAACAGGAGGCCTTAGCGCCTCAGCATCCCGCTTAAGACTCTGCCCCCAGGCCGGGTGCAGTGGCTCACACCTGTAATCCCAACACTTTGGGAGGCCAAGGTGGGCAGATCACCTGAGGTTGGGAGTTTGAGACCAGCCTGACCAACATGGAGAAACCCTGTCTCTACTAAAAATACAAAAAGTAGCCTGGCGTGGAGGCGCCTGCCGGTAATCCTGGCTACTTGGGAGGCTGAGGCAGAAGAATCGCTTGAACCTGGGAGGCGGAAGTTGCAGTGAGCTGAGATCCAGCCATTGCACTCCAGCCTGGGAAACAAGAACAAAACTCCATCTCAAAAAAACAAAAAACCTCTGCCCCCAACTCCCTCCACACAGGACCCTTACACGCCCGTTTTCCCACCCCCAGGCCTTGGCCTGCTGTCTCTGCCTCCCCTCTCCCTTCCAGCAATCCCTGGCAGGATTCACTGACTCCAGAAAGCGTTTTCCTTCCTTAGAGAGTAGAGCTAAAAGACTAAAACAAAAATAAAGACTTTTTTTTAAAAGAGAGAAAGTTTCATTTATTGGCTCATGCGTTCAGTCATTGAATTCCTCTCACATGCTGTGCTCTAGCAGTGCACACTCAGCATGCAGGAGCTGTAACCATTACTGTTATGATTCGAACAGCATTTGTGGGATGTGAACTGCTCTGGGGCAGGCCTGGGTCTTGGCCTTGTTGGTGGCCTTCTGGGTACCTGGCCCCTAGAAGATGGGAAAGTGTTTGTTAAAATGAACACACACACACACACACACACACACACACACACACACACACTCTTCTCTGACTAGGAAACCTCTATTCATCCTTCAAGGCCCAGATCCAATGGCTCCTCCTCCAGGAAGACTTCCTGGATTCCTAGACAGACTCCTGGACTCCCAGCCAGCATGAAGACTCCTGTGTGGGAGCCTTGTGGCAGGAGGCCTTCTTGTTTTCTGCCCAAGGCTGTAGAGGAAACCAGATAGTGGGAGAGACTGGGCAGTGGTCAGTGCCACTGGGGCCTGTAGGTTTCAGGCCAAGAGCGTCCAGCTCCCCTATGCCCCCTCCCAGCTGCCTCACTGTCCATTAAGCCAGCTTACTTCTCTTTGTCACAGGGAGAACATCACCCCTGTTGGTGCAGGGGCCGAAAACAAAGCAAATAGAACATTTTAGAACCTCTTACATGCGCTAAAGACACTGGCTTCTCCCTGTGTTGCGGAGTTAAGAGAGGCCAGCCCAAACCCCTCCCCAACTCCATTCTTCATCCTCCTCCCTTATCCCACCCCTCCCCCATGCTACACAGACTCAGTTTCCTCCTGTGACAGAAGCAAACCAGAATAATTTCGTTTCAAGGACTGTGGATCGCGGTGGATAAGGAAGTGCCGTTCATGGACTAAGCTCAGCACGCAACTCACAGATCCCACTTCACTCTCCTTGAGCCCTAAGAGGCAGGCACTGTTTTTATTCCCCCCTCCTTTTTTTTTTTTTTTTTTGAGACCGAATCTTGCTCTGTCCCCCAGGCTGGAGTGCAGTGGATGATCTCGGCTCACTGCAACCTCCGCCTCCCGGGTTCAAGTGATTCTCCTGTCTCAGCCTCCTAAGTAGCTGGGACTACAGGCGCCTGCCACCATGCCCAGCTAAATTTTTGCATTTTTAGTAGATTTTACCATGTCGGCCAGGCTGGTCTTGAACTCCTGACCTCAGGTGATCCTCCTGCCTCTGCCTCCCAAAGTGCTGGGATTACAGGAGGGAGCCACTGAGCCTGGCCTTTTGTTCCCATTTTTACGGAGCAGGAAGTTGAGGCTGGCCCTCCACATCAGACAAGCCTGCACAAGGCCATCCAGCCAGGCGAGGTGGCTCCAATGGGGCCCCTTCACCTTTACAACAAACTCCAGAAATGAGCTGTGGCTATGAGCCCCTCCTCATTTTACAGATGGGGAAACTAAGGCCTGGAGTGGCTCACCCACAATCCCCCAGCTTGTGAGTGGTCAGCTGACTCTAGGATCAAGCTGGTGAGAGGTCTTAAGACACCCCCGCCCTACCAGTAGCCAGACCTCCATGTCCACCATTTCTCATTCTCTTGACTGTCTCAGCCTGAGTCCTCAGAGGTCAGTCCTGATGTCCTCTCCACCCCTGCTGTCCCCCGCTGTCCCCAGAGACCCTACAACCAGCCTCACCACAGGTGGTGTGGCTAATTCCAGGCCTGACACCACCGGCCTGGGAAAGAGATCCCTCCCGCAGGAGACGCCTGCGTGTGCTGCATGGCCTTGTAGGGAAGACCCTTGTCCCTGGAATGGTGTCTTGCAAAGAGAGCCCCTGGAGGTGGGAGGGGAGAAGATGGCTAGGATTGCTGTTAGGGTTAGCTGTACGCCTCTGTCAGCATCTTCTGTGTGTCCTGCTCTGTAGCCTTGGTAACGGACTTACATCCCCTCTGGTATGTGCTCCAGGGAACACCCCAGGAGCCCGGGTCAGGGCTGGGAGGGTCATTTGGGGTTCCTGGCTGTGGGGGGCCCTGTCCCAGCTGTCCAGGCTGTGTATTCTGGGGCATGAGGCAGGTGGAGGCTGCCATTTATAGCTCACTCCTGAGCTTCCCTCCGGCACCGCAACCTCTCCATCTGGGGCTTCTAAGGACGGGGTGGGGGAAACGAAACGACCCATCGGCATCCCGGCCACCTCCCAGTCATGAGACCCAGGGTCCTTTATTAAGCATCTACTACCACGTGCAGGTTTTTGGAGCACTGTGGTGGGCATGACTCAGCCCAGTGGGGCAAGACAACCCATAACTGCAATTATAGAATTAACTACAATAGGGCAAATGAATGTCTCAGGCTGGGTTCCTCCCGAAGCCAACCTTGACACAAAAGTTCAAGGAGGTCGGGCAAAATGTCTCACGCCTGTAATCAGAGTGCTTTGGGAGGCTGAGGTGGAAGGATCACTTGCGGTCAGGAGTTTGAGGCCAGCCTGAGCAGCACAGCAAGACTCTATCTCTACAAAAGATGTTAAAAGTAGCTGGGCATGGTGGTCTGTGCCTGTCGCCCCAGCCACTCAGGAGACTGAGGTAGGAGAATCACATGGACCTGAAATTTGAAGCTGCAGTGAGCTTTTTCTTCCTTCCTTCCTTCTTTCCTCCCTCCCTCCCTGCCTTCCTCCCTGCCTTCCTTCCCTCCTTCCTTTCCTTTCTTTTCTCTCCTCCCTCCCTCTCCTTCCCTCCTTCCTTTTCTTTCTTTTCTCTCCTCCCTTCCTCCCCTTCCCTCCCTCCTTTCTTCCTCCTCCTCCTCCTTCTTCTTCTTCTCTCTCTCTCTCTCCCTCTCTCTCTGTCTCTCTCTCTCTTTCTCTCGCCCAGGCTGGAGTGCCATGGCATAATCCTGGCTCACTGCAGCCTACATCTTCCAACTTCAACTGATCTCCCACCTCAGCCTCCTGAATAGCTAGGACCACAGGCATGTGCCACTATGCCTAGATATCTTTTTGTTTTTGTAGAGTTGGGGTCTTGCTGCGTTGCCCAGGTTGGTCTTGAACTCCTGGGCTCAAGTGATCTTCCTGCCTTGGCCTCCCAAAGTGTTGGGATTACAGGCATAAGCCTCTGTGCCTGGCCCGCCATGAGCTATTATCACACCACTGCACTTCAGCCTGGGCATCAGAGTGAGTCCCCATCTCTTAAAAAAATTGAAGGACAAGTAGTTTATTTGGGAGGTAACCCAAGGAGACACGAGTAGATGGTGGGAAGTGAAACGGAATAGAAAGTAGCCATTAAGTCTGCATTATGAAGCCAGTTACTACCATGGGCAAACAGGGTGCAGTCCCACTGAGGGCCTCTGGAGGTAGCAGAGAGCACACTCTTTGGAGTTGTCCCAGCTGTGGGGCGAGGGAGCTGGGGTATTTATCCGCCAATGAATTCCATGCTGTCATTGGTTGAAGGCTGCTCTTAGGGGCTGTTGATTCTGCTGACCTGCCCCTGTATGGGCCACACCCACTTCAGCAGCTGGAGGAAGCCTTGGGGAGGACCTGGGGCCCTTTTCTCCCTGCCCACCCCACCACTGGCTTGCCCCTTCCCAGGTAATTCTTTTTTTTTTTTTCAGGGTCTTGCTCTGTGGCCCAGGCAGGAGTGCAGTGGTGAGATCTCAGCTCATTGCAACCTCCATCTCCCGGGTTCA